GACGTCTGGTCGTCAGCAATCGATGAATTCGCCCCTCAACAATGGGTTTGAGCTATCGGAGAGCCAGATGAGATTTCAATTTGACTCTGAGGATGCGAGAGCTGTGTAGAACTTAGCTTCCGGGCTTCCCGAAACATTAATCCTGGTCCCTTTGCCTTCGTGAAAAGATTCGTCGGACGCAGATGGACCAAGTTTTACACCTCTTTCAAACAGAGAAAGATGGGAATTGTTCGCGAACGGCACTTGAAGATAGCTATCTGCTCGACGGTGCTGGAAGCTCTCCCGCCATTGTTGACCGGAGGCGACTCTCTTCACGAGCAGAGACCGCGAAGCTCAGCGCTTCGAGGACGTCGACTTGAGTCTGCTCTGAGAGCCAATCGACTCTCTGAGTCGCTCCGGGAGAGTATGTAGATCTTTCTCTCGTCAAAACGGCAAATTTGTTCATCCGCCTTCGTCGGACGGCTTTGCCCTTAGGAGAATTCCGACGAGGCTTCCCGGGTTCCGCTTCTCGTTTCCGCATCTCGAATTCTGCGATGCGCTTCCTGTGATGTACCGCCGAATCGGATGATCAGACAACATGCAGGTCCTGTGCGAGGATATTCAGCTCGGCAATTTTCCGTGTATCCTTAAGCAATTATCCGATGCTGCAATCGCCGACGTATACTTCTCCGGTCTGATGACGACTGGCGACACGGACTGTTGGGAGCTCTCAATGAAGAACGTCCGAGCGGGAGTACTAAGAGAGAATTCTTCTCCTGGACAAGCGGAACGAATTACGGTAAAATCGAGAATAGGAGACCACGAGTTCGCGTGGGACTCATGCGAGCAATGGAGATACATGGATAACGAATTTTTCCGCCGCGATCTTTACCGACGTTGAGCATATGCTAAAACACCGGTCGCGATTCTATAATTCGGCAATTAAGAATATTCTCATTCGATTGAGTACTTTGTCGACTCACTCTCTGAACGGATAGAGCAAATCATGGATTCGATGCAGCAAATGAGAGAAATGTTACTCCGCGACTCAACGTGAATGACGGGCTTGATGTCGATTGCTTGGGCCTTGGAGATAGCTATCTTTACGCGATATTTTTACTGCCGTGATTTCGATCCCAGCACCGGCGGGATGCAGTGTGGAGCGATGATTCATTGATGGACTCCGCTCACCTATACGCGCGATTCTCACCTTGTTTCCAGAAGGAGATCAATCTCGATTGCAAACATTTTCCTAAGCTCCTGTCAACTTGAGCGCTTACAATACAAGAATCATCGCTGCGGTAATCTCCGGATTATTGACAATTACTGACAGTGACGCGAGGAACGAGGTTCCCAGTCCGCGAATGTGTCAGGGCTCACGAAAGTAAAAACATAAAGGGCCTCCATCATTCACCGTCGAGAAAACTGACATTTTGATGGATCAGATGAGCCGAATGGCTGACCCGACCGATCTACCTGAGTAGAAGTGGATCGATAACTGATGACTGATCACACTCCTTTGGGATAGAAGCGAGAGGAAGTTCAGTCGTCTGGTTCTTCTCATGTGACCCTCCCCAACGGAATATCGCGGAGATGCGGGAAGAAAACCGCGGCCGGAATATTCTGGAGCTGACCTTGACTTTGATGCGACCTTGTAGATGCGCGCCGGGCTCCAGACGACGGGTACAGCTCCGATGCCCGCGTTTAGAATGAATCCTAGAATAGTTTGAAAAAATGAAGATTCTCCTAATGATAGTCGCAATACTCTCCCTCAATCCCGATCACCTACTCCAAACAGAGAGGATCATGAGCTAGAATCTGGCGAAAATCGGTACGGCGACTCCGATCCAGGACACGTGGCTCTGGGGCATTGACCTATAAAGGTCCGGAACTGTAGGGCGGAGTCGGTAACCTATACAATGAAGAAGTCGCCATTTAAAAATCACTCGGCGACAGACATGCGAAAGCCATAATTATTATCTCTCACCCTACCCCAGGGCGAGTGCCTCGATTGCGCAAGACATCGATTCGGTCCTGCCCTCGGTAAGGCCGCGGACCACGAAAATAGCCCACAGAGAGGAGACCTTTACCTCACTGACGTAATGGGGTGACTTTTCCGCCTCAGGGAACTCCCTGACCTTCGTCTGGCTTCTCCAGACTCTATGAGTCCATTTGTTTCGTTCGTATGGACAAAAAAACTCCGGTGGATCTCAAGATTGATCATTGGAGCTCCGTCTGGTTTTCCATGCCGCAGATCTCTAAGAATCCAGTTGACACATAAGAAATCATCTCCCTATGTCCATCGATTCTTCTCTGAAGTGGTCGGGGATGAGGGGATGCGGTAGGCAGGACCGAGCCGCTCAGGATGTCAAGGTGCTCCGCCGCATTTCGCGTATAGCGTGACGGGTAGAAGCGACGGTTGGACGGGTGCCACGGTTTTCCCCCGGAAGCGCCCCAAGACTCGACATTCGGAGCCCTGGGAATCGAAAAAATTGAAGCGCTTCCTCAAACTCGATCAGGGCATTGGTCGGCTGGTCGATCTGTCGCCCCTCTATCAACCAAAGACGAATTTCTCCGTGCTCCTCAGTGATTCGCGGAGTTCGGCCGCAGGGGAACTTGGACCAGCGGCTGAGATTGACTTGTCTACGAGTATCTTTTCCTTTTTTTCTCTCGTAAGCATGCTACACGGCTATCACCTCCTTCAGGAAGTCCCTCTCCATAGGTTCGGGATACCCTCCACCCAACTCCACCCAGTCAAGGGCCAGATGGTTGTGATTGCCCCAAGCTTCCCTACCTCAAGCAGTCAGTCGAGTTCCTATTTTAAACTTGTGCTAGGCACTTGCATTTGCGGGATCAGTGTTGATGATGGCGGTTACAACGGCGGCGGCGGCGATGACGTTGACGACACTTATGGAGTCAGAAGACGAATTTTTACTATGAACGACTCCAGCCCCCCGGCCGCCCCAGTGAACAGCCATCCATGGTGCTGAGGTCGTCGTTCGTTTCGAAATATTCAAAAGCTGGATCGAAGAGGTCGACGAGGCTCACGTGGAGCCGATATCATCGATGAGTACTGTAAGTTATCGCGGATAATCCGTGCTCTCGATTCGCGTGTCCCTCGATTGTAATGCGGCGCCGCGGAAAACCCCACTACACCTCGCCGATATCGATCGATTATCACTGCCTGAGAAATTAATTTCCCGAAATCGCCGCTACGGGGATCGGGGGGAACATCATCGGCTTCTCCGTTCAATCAGATCGAGTGCTGAGACTTCCGTTGCGCGAGATCTCGTGCATCGTCAAATGAATTGAACTGATGCAAATCAGCGATTTCGGTCACCTGTCTCTGCTAAGTGACCTGCTTCTTTAAAAGCTCGGCTGGAAGGGGCTCGCGCGATATTTATAGAGCCCAGACGAAGGCAAAGACATTCCGTGCACCGGTGGTAAATTGTTGTCTTCGTGAACTCTGAACATCGATTCTTCCGGTGCACGTATAGCGTCAACAGCTGACCTACGTCTGTCTGTCAGCCTGCTTGTCTGACCGTCTGGACTGGAGATAGCGTTTCGTGTGTTCCATAAATCTATCGTCGTAAAAGATATGACGTCATGAGAACAGAGTAGCCATAAATCCGTTCTAGACATGCAGTATTCTGCTCGCCCCCGAGACGTATCCTCGGTGCATTCCCTCCTCGGGGAAGTTCCTGGTCATGAACCGGGATTCGAAAACAATGCAACTACATAGAAAGATTCGCCGAACTATGGGAAGTCGCCCTTTAGCCAGGTCGTCGGTCGCTGCGTTGGCCATTCGCTCCTAATGGTCTCGAATGCGTCTCACACGCTTTTTTCATACGTCTCGATGGTTTCCTGGATTTCAGCGCTGCTTACGAGCTCTGGTGAATCCGGATTAGAAAATTATTTGGTCCGATCAGGCTCCCCCCGACTGGGAGGCGCTCACGAAAGACATAGGTGATATCCGATCTCCAGAAGTGAAGTATCAGGCGACACATCAGTTCGCTGGCGAAGTGTGGAATACAGAGTAGAGGAGACGATTTCGAAGTCGGTCAGTTCTCGACGATGAACCTTCGAACCGCATCTCTGCCTCTAGACGGAGCCTGTACTGTAAAATGGAGTATGATCAAGATTTCGAGTACTAATGAGCTACGCTGACAGGGTAATTAGAATCGCTTGAGGGATACCGCGGTAGGAGCTCTAGGGAATCTCTAGTCTCGCGCCGAGAAGGGGCTTTATCGCATCTTTCGGAGCCCGCGCGATGAGGGTTACGGCTAGGCTTCGCAACCGCGGTTATGAACCGCAATTGCGGTTTTTCTTCAACATGGGAGTCTACGGGGGGCAGCGGTTAACCGCAGACAATAACCGCGGTTTTTCCTGAAATCTGCGGTTATTTGCAAAGCCTGGTTACGGCCAAGAGCATTTCATTTTCTTTCGATGTTCAGGACGGAGTCATGACGGTCCGCTCGGCAAGGGGCTTCTTCCGAAGCTCTGAGTAAGCCTCGACCTCGACAGTCCTGAAAAGGGAGGAGGATCTGCCGGGATCCCGGCGGAGTCTTCTACTAGGGCTTTTCGCGGGGTCTCCCGTCGAGCGACAGGCCGCGATCACCTCCGGTCCTCCTAGGCACGTCGATCGTTGATATCGATTCCACCCGTCAGCCGCAGCCGTCTTTCGAGAGTTCTAGAGAAATTCCAATTATCGTGTGAAGGCTCCCTCGCTAGATGTCTCCGAGCTTGAGGACAACTCTCACTTCACCCCGAGAGACGCGCGGCCCTTCCTCGCAGTCCCGAGGATGGCGGGGTAAAGATCCGTCCTCTTCCGTGATCTCACGCGATCGGTGACGTCGTATATCGAACTCGCATCACTGATTCAGAGCTTGCGTAGAGAATCGAAGAAACATACTCCAGGATTTTTTCATATGCGCTCAAAGTACCTCTTTTCTGTTTTCCGCGGGCCGTTCCGTCCCGAGGAGCGTTTCAGACATAACCGGTATCTTTTCCGATTCTTCCAGACGAACAAGAACGAGTTCAGAAGAAAGTGTTTGTAAATTGGATAAACCATGTGCTGGCACAGAGAGTCCCACCATCGCGTATCAAAGACCTCATCGAGGACCTCCGCGATGGGACGAAACTCTTGGCGCTTCTCGAAGTGCTGTCTGGCGAAACCCTCCCCGGGGAACGGGGGAAGATTTTGCGCAGGCCGCACTTCATTTCCAACGTTAACAATGTCCTCCGGTAAGTAGCCGACGGTGCGAGCTATCCGGCACTGGAGCACCCTCTTCTCCATCGGGAGATATATTTCACTCGATTTTCCCCTCCGCAGATTCCTGGAACGGCGAAGGATAAAATTGGTGAACATCAACTCGACTGATGTGGTCGACGGGAAACCGGCCATCATCCTCGGCTTGATATGGACCATTATTCTGCACTTCCAGATAGAGCAACACACGGCTCTCTTCCAGCCCTCGGCATCTTCTCCGGCTCATGTAGCATCTCCGGCTCGAGACAGAGAATCGGTCGCCGACAAGTGGAAGGGAGGCGCAAGAAAAGCCCTCTTACAATGGGTCAAAAACGCCATCAGCCAGTAGGTTTAATAGCTGTCGAGGGTGGAGTGCTCTCCACTGTGTATGCTTCCCCAGACGGCCCCGGATGCCGATTGCTATACGAAGATCCTAAATCACTTTGAAACACGCTGAAATACTCTGCAGACGTTTCGGTATCCACGTCAACGATTTCGGCCCTTCGTGGCGAGATGGGATGGCATTCCTCGCCATCGTCTCAAGACTCAAACCCTCCTCGGTGGATCTGGACGCCGCCCGTGATATGGGCAATCGGCAGAGACTCGACACGGCATTCAACGTCGCGGAACGAGAATTAGGAATCCCAAAACTCATTGATTCCGAAGGTTAGGACTCCTTCAGCTCCCGCGCTTGGCATGAGCTACACGTTGTCTCATGAGTCTTCTGATCTCGGTATAATCCTCGTGATATCGTTTAGAAACTGTAGCTGATAACATCAATTCACGTGTTCTGTAGATGTTGACGTTGCACAACCAGACGAGAAATCAGTGATGACCTACGTAGCTCAGTTCCTACATAAGTATCCAGAGTCGTATTCACAAGTCCGAGAGATGCCGACGGGTAGCGATCCAGATTTGGTGAAGATGAGTGAGTTCCTGACACGAGCTGAAGACCTATTGAATAGTCAAAGTTCAGACCTCAACGAACAAGTCAAGGTATGGGTGCACAAGGCCCACTTCTTCGAAAATCGTTCGGGGAGAGAATCTCGATTGAGAGAAGTTCCGCGAAGAATTGAACCCATGTCTCTCCTGCAGAGCTATCGCAGTCTGAAGAACGAATACCGGGACTTGACATCGCTGTACAATTCACTGCGGAACCGAGTTCGCACTGAAACTTCCATCGCGACGCAGTGGCCCCAGGTGGACCAGAGGTGGAAAAACGTTGGCAACCTGCTGAAAGCTTGGTGGCAACGGTGAGTCCCCGAAAACTAGAAGCGTATTTCTCTTCCCTGAGGGGAGTCATATCGGGAATTATTTGCGCGATTCTGCGACTCGACGACGGTCCTCTTGAGACGAATATTCTTCCGCAGACTCACCTCCGGTCTTTCGTATGAAACTCTGACGTTCTTGCAATTCCTGGAGGATGCCGAGCATCGCCTAGCTCAGCCTGCGATACCACCGGAAATGGCCCCGGACGACATTGCTCGTATGAATCAAATCGTGGGCGATCATGATCTGTTTTTGAAAGACCTGCAACAAATCAAACAGTGGTTCGACTCAGCCAAGCCAGACCAATTCAAGATTGCTGCTTTGTACGAAGACTCGAAATCGCGACTCGGCGAAATTTCAAAGAGAGCTTCGGATCGGAAACTACTCCTTCAGCTATATCAGCAACGCGCGAAGATGTTGACGATTATTTCCAAGGCGAGAGGGGTGTTCTCCAGGTGGCGTGTGCCTCTCGCTCTAAGAGATGGTCTGAACCACGAGTGGGACGCAGCGAAAATCCAGCTAGAAACGTACACGACAGACTTCGCAAAACTCAATCTTGAATTCCGGGCTGCGCTCGACGGCTGCACTTCAAACGGAGCCATGAGTAAGTCATCGAGAATTCCCAGTGGGCACCGCTCGCGATGCTGCCGCTCTACCCCACCGGGAGCCATCTCGGAGGGATTAAAAATTTTCAGTCCGAGTTTTTATTGAGACAACCCACAAGTTTCTATCCTGTCCTATTAGATTTCCCCGAAGCCGAACGTTTGGGCCGAGAAATCACCGAACAATGGGACGATGTGCAAACGGAAATGCGCTCGCTGTACGAGATCCTCGATCAGCTATTCAAGAACCTTCGATTCTACACGGAGAACTTCGATCGAGTCTACGGCTGGATCAGGGAGGCGGAGATGATGGTTTCTGCGACCGACAGCAAAAAACTCGTGCGTACAATTCCACTGTTGACCTTCCATGTCCGAAGCGCTCCCCCCCCATTGCAGCGGATGGTGACGATCGGACGCTGAGTTCTGATTGACGACATTCTCCCCTACAGGAGTTTTTCGCGTCCGCCAAACAATTCAGCGAGTTGAAGAACCGTGTGGTTGAATCCGGAAGTTTCTGCCAGGACAAAGTACAAGAACCTCTAGCCAGTGCAATCCGAAATCAATTGAGTGATCTTCAGAGACGATGGAACGCACTGAGCCAAATTGTGAGCGAATCAGCTTTGTTCACGCATGTGTTCGAAACACATCGATGGCCACCGTGGATCTGAGTTTCTCGTCATCGTGATAGAGGGCTTTTCTGAGATATTCTCGGGGCGCGCTCTTCAATTCGATGTCATTTCAGATCGCACCGTTTTTGACTGCCGGCGATTCTTTAAAGAAACGCCTAGATGTTCAGAGAGAAATCGATTCCCTTAAGGAAGCGATCGCCAAACATGAACTCCTTCTCAACACCAGGTTGCCTTATGAGAGGCCTGCGCTCGAAAAGCACGCTGATGACTTGCGTAAAAGTCAGAGTGAGGTTAGTAGCTCTTTCTGTCGTGACGCGCCGCGCCGACACCATTTCTCCATGGATTTCGAAGCAGATAGCGTCAAACTGATGGGTTTTGCTTCTCTCCACAGCTACGCAGCCTCGACGAACGATGTAGAGAGCTCTCACGCAAAGTTCAAGGGATGGTATCGGAGCTTTCGGCTCCTGAAATCGAACAATTGACAAACGTTCTCAGGATGGAGAAAGATAAACTGGTCATAGTGCAGGGTAGGCTAAATTCGAAGCTCACCCAGATACAGAATCTTCTCGGATACCTGACATCTCTACTCTCGGAGCTTGACACGATACCGCCGTGGCTCGATCAAGCCGAAGTATTGATCTCAACCTATGCCGGTAAGAGGCCAAATACAAAACGGAAGGGAGAACGATACATTCGTTCCAGTATTCTGTCGAGAAGGAGAAAAAACTGAGGACTTTCGTTTCAGCTCCCGTCGACAAACGGTCTGTGGAGACTCTTCTTCAGAAGCATCGCGACTTCTTCTCAAAGCTTTCCGAAATTCAAGCTGTGCTTGACTGCAAGAACAAGATTATGCGGGATATCAAGGAGGAAGCCGGACCCGCAAACGTGGACGTCGGCGCCTTGGACCACAAGATTGCCTCCATCTACCAAAGATTCACGGTAAATGCAGGATCATAGGAGTCCTTGTTTGAGCATTGTCAATCATTATTGAAAAACTCCGATAGGACGATCGCGAGAAATCATCTCATCCGGAAATTCGTTTTCACAGAATGTCCAAGATCTCTCGAAGCAATGGGAAAAGGCGCTGGACGAGGCTCTGACCAGATGGACCAACCTGGAAGAGCATACTTCGAACCTGGAGTCGTGGCTCTCGGAAGCCGAGCCTCTCGTCGAGAAGGATAGCAATGTCATGGAACAGGTGGCGTTTTTCTCGCGTCCCTACCAACATTTGTATTTGTCGTTCATCGCTTCTGCAAAGGATGTACTCTCGACCGTCGACCCGTCGCAAGTCGCGGCGCTCAGCCAACGGGTGACAGCTCTGCAAGAACGCTATAAGGCGGTCATCCGCGTGCTACCCGATCCGTCCGAGCAATCGAAACTGAATCAGCTTAACCAGAAATTCATGCTCCATCTCGAGAACATCAGGAAAGAGCTTCGAGAAGAACTCGTACTCATCACCAGTGGCCGATCCGAAAGCGCCAACGTAGCTCAGCGGCACCGAGAGTTTTTCCGGGACTGTGGCGACCTCAAGCTTCTGCACGAAATCATTCGGGATATGGAGGCATTGGCGACCAATAACGATTCGCGACCCGTACATCCATTCAATAGTGAAATGATGTTGAACAATCAACGGGAACTGAAAGACGTGATCGACGAAATTCAACGAACCAAGAATCTTTTGACGATGTCGGACAAGCAATACACGGAGTATCAGACCAGGTGAGAAGGACGTCATCGAGGTAATGATCAGCGGGAGGGAAGGGGTGCCCGATCGGAGTGCACCGATCCATCTTAGTAGGGTGCGCAGGTCATTCGGATTCGTGGATTTCGAGCGCTGTACGAATTTCTGTCAAAAGCATGCACGATCGCGATCCATTCAGTTCGTGGTAATATGCACGGAACGATCCTCCTCCCCACGAAACCCGTTGCATATTCTGTCGCGTTTTGGGGAAGCCGCCCCAAATTTGTCTTGGACTAGGTATCCCCTCTGGTTTCCAATAGAATGAAGTGAATGATGTTTAAAATATAGCTAAACGTATGCTCTTAGCTAATAGCGGACCTAATTTGCTTCGCCAGAGTAAATAAATTGATAACCTGGATGGACGATGTAGACAAAAACGTTACCACACTCCTCGAAAACGATATACCCTCATCGAGCGACTACGAGAAACTTCGAGAGAAGTTCAACGCGATCTGCGCCGATGTTTCGTCGAAAGAAGACGACATCAAGTGGCTCATTCGACAGCTCCAACAATTGGTAAGCAAAGAAGTGCAACCTCCCACCGAGAGCTGGGGAATCGACCTCCGGAGTGGAGCCAAGGGGGACATCTGCTTTGCGCCGAACTCTGATTTCCTTCTCACCCGCCTCCCTTGCAGATACCAAATATGACTCAGGAGCAGGCCACTGCCGAGAAGGGGAATCTCGAGTTCCTGGTCCAGAGATATCAACAATTAGTTCCATCGATAGAGATGACGACGAAAGTTTCAGAAACGATTCACAAGATCATAATCTATCGAGAGGAAGTTCACAAAGTCACAAAATGGATGACCGAAATCAAAACGAGCGAACTGCCCGTCGATCAACTTCAGAACATTCAGAGGGAGCACCAGGAGCGAGTGATTAAACTGGAAGCTGAGAAATCTGCACTTTTGGACGAAGCTCGTAGAGTCGCCCCTGGAATGGTTGTGCCCAAAGCTCTGAGCCAACAGGTCAACCAGCTCCAAGGAGACTTCACGCTGGTTTCGGAGTGCGCGAAAAAGAACGTACAAGCGTTGCAGGAACAGAGTGAGGCATTGGCAAGATCTTGCGAGGACCTGAAACGGGAGATCCTCGAACTGCTGGCATTGGCCGAATCCAACTACTCGTCATTCGGAAAATATTCTACGCCCTCCGAACTCATGGAAGCTCTCCGCCTCAAAGAGGAGAAACACAAGAGCTACATAGACAAGACGCAAGACCTGCTCAGGCGACTGAAGCAGTATAAGTTCGAGGACAGTAAATTCACGGAGGAGGTGACGAAAATCGAGAAGCAGACCCATGTTGTGTTCAATAAGGTGGAGGAGAAGAGCACCAAACTCAAGTGCGCTGCAAACAAGGCACTTAAGATTGCGGAACATGTCGGAACCACCGACCTCTCGGACACGAGTAGCGCGAATAAGGCCAAAGTCGAACAGCTCATAAGCGAGGTGTCGGAAGACAACGATTTAGCCGAGGTCTTGCCAATGTTGCCTGACATCGCGCAGAACATCAACACCGCGCAGCAGCAGTTTGTCAAGATACAACACGCCGAAAAGGCTCAGCAGGCTTTGCTCACGGCAATCGACGAGGAATTCAGACAGGCCGAGTCGCAGGTGAACGATTTGACGTACACAACTCCGAGCTTCAGTCGCATCGAAGATTGCCGCTCGTACTTGCAAAAAATCACCACGATCTCGAATAATGCGAAGTCGCGCATCACTTATGCCGATAACCTGTGCTCGATGGAAGACTTGCCAGAAGAAGCTCCCCAGAAGATACAAGAGGTTAGCGGGCTAAGAGATCATGAGGATGATCTTTATTGTGGAAGATTCCTGAGGAGACGCTCTTTCCTTTTTTTCTTTCGTTTCCTCAAGGGACTGGATTCATCCTCCTAATTCTTTCCTGTGTTCCAGTTGAAGTCCCTGTGGCAGAAAGTCGATCAAAGGGCAGCCGAGAAAATCGAGCGGCTGACTACGGCTCTGAACGAGCGAACGCAGTACGACGGTGTCGTGGAAAGATTCGAAGATTGGCTGGAGAAGCTCCGGCAAGCTCTCAGAGACCGCAAGAAGGCTACAAATCCTCACGAGGTCGAACAAGAAACAACCGACTTGAAGAAGATCGCGGCTGATATTCAGGAGCAGCAGAAGAGTATCACCGATATTCAGAGCAGAATAGACGAATCAAAGCTCAGCGAATTCCTGCATCCGGAAGCGACGCGACTTCAAAACCGTCTGTTCACAATCAAGAAAGAAACGACAAACATAATGGACTCAATCAGGAAACAAACCAATGAGCTGGCGAACGTAATCAGCGAGCAGAAAATAGTGGAGAAACGTATCGTCGCGATCGAGGGCAACTTGCAGAAGATCCTCGAGCAAGCGCCGAAAACGATGTCCATAAGCCAGACGGTGGATAAGAACACCACGGTGGGTTCCCCGAAATACACGAGAACTGCCTAAAGGGGATACTCAGTGGATACATGAACTAAATACATTTTTATTTTATTCATTTCTTCCAGATCGCCAAGAAAATTATCGACGACACCACGAACGACATCAACGAGCTCATGCCGAGCGTGAAACGGCTCGTGGAACAGCTGCCCGGAGCTGCGCGACCTCTGGAACAAAGACTTAGCGCGCTCAGCAGCCGAATCTCAACTCAGCGCGAGCTCCTCGATAAGCGGTCCACCATTGGTAAAGATGTGAATGACTTCAACAACTGGCAACGCGATCTCATCGAGCAGCTCAAACTACTCGAGCAGCAGTTGGGAACGACAAAACCTAGTCCTGAATTCCTCCATAAAGTGAAGCTCACCCTAAAGACCATCGAGACGACGATAGTCGAGAAACGTCAGATGGTCGAAGGCCTCCAACAGCGCCTTAACGACATTGGACTGACGCTGACCGACGTCGACGACAAGCCAACGTCCCTGATCGACGAAGTGGACAAACTGCAAACGATGTTCGGCAACGTTAACCAGCTTTTTCGTCGCCGAACGGAACAAGTCGAAAAAATGCACGCTCAGTTAGACCAGTTCAATCAGTCGGCTACGTCCATCAACACGAGCATCGAGAACCTTCATTCGGAACTCAAGGCCTTGAGATCGATCGATAGCTCCTACGTCGCTCTCAAGGAAATGCGGGAGAGGCTCGTGCAAATTCAGAACACGATTCCCTCCTCGATCATCGAGCAGGTCAACGAAATGGGTCGGAAACTCATCGAGCAGGATTCGTCGGCGATATCTAGCGTCCAGAACGTCCTGAGTGCGATCTCGAAGAACTTCGACGTAGTCAGTTCTGACGTCGATAGGCGATTGGCGAACGTCGATGGCGCGAGACAGATGTGGGACGAATGCCGAGATCTCCAGAATGTGGTGGATAGCATTCTGAAGAGCACCGTCGAACAGATCGAGCGAGCGAAGAGCGCGACCGGCCCCGAGATTCCTGAAGCGAGCAGCCAATTGAAACAGACGAAGGGAATCCTCATCGGCCAAAGGCCCGCCGTTGAACAATACGCGCGGAAGGTCAAAACCCTTTGCGAGAAACTCGAGGCCGTCCCGGGCTTCAACACCACCACATTGAAAAACGAAGCTCAGGATAGGATTTCACAGTTTTCGGTCCTATACGAGCAGATTACGCAGCTGCTGGGAAATCTGGAGAATCTGAACACGGCGCTGCATCAAATCGAAGTTGCACGTACTTCAGTCGACAAGTGGGTCACAGAAATGTCGAGCGAGCTCGACGAAGCTCTCGCCAAGTTGTCCGAACCCAGAGCGCGTTCCGTTCTGGACCGCTACCACATCGAGGCCGAGACACAGCGGAATTTCCTGAGGAGCGTTCGCGATAAGATTTCCTCGCTGAACGGGATCCTCGACACGGCGCCTCTGACCAACCAATTCGATTCGGTCGAGCAGCGGCTCAACTCGTTGCAGTCCAGGGCGTCTCTGCTCGAGTCGAAACTCCGAAACGTTCAGGATGCCGAAGACCGAATCCGTCAGAGGCTGGCTCGCTTCGCCGAATGGCTCAAGGAGCGACGGGACGTTGTGTCGAAGTGTGACACGGACGATATTTCCACGTCGATGCGTCTCTGCACTGACGTCAAGAACAGCCTCGAGTCGAGCAGTGAGCTCCAGCAGATCAACGACGAGATCACCGGGCTGCAGAAAGAACAGGAAGCGCTCGACTTGGTGCATCTCTTCAAGGACCTGAACAACATCGAGAAGCGTTTCGCTAACGTGCTGCAGCAAACGAATAAGACCATCCAGACGATGCAGTCCCTGATGGAGAGGAAATACCAGACCGCGTTCAACGACGCCCAGCGTTGGATTCACAACACGGACGAGAAAATTCACTGGACCGTCAGCAGCAATCCCGCCATGGACAAATTCAGTGTCGAAGCAAAACTCGCCACTCTCTCCGAAATCGCGTCCAGCATGCCGGTGGGCCGAGAGAAACTCAACGCGCTCCGGCAGTCGGTCGTTCAGTTTCCTGAGAAACAGAACGAGTTGAGCGCCGTGGAAGACTCGTTCGCCCAGGTCGAGATCAACCTCGCCGACAACCAGGCGCAACTGGAGCACGCCTTGCAGCAGTGGCACGCTATCGAGCAGATGATCGCTAATCTGGGTCAATGGCTCTCGTCGATCGAGGTCCAAGCCAAGTCCGAAACTGGTCAAGCCTTCAGCCTGACTCAGAATTTCGATCAACAAATTGAAACACTGGAGAGCCTGCTGCAGACTCTCAACACACGACAAGCCCAGTTCTCGCAGCTCGAGCAAATGATGTCCCGCATCACCACCGATGGTTCGGATGCGTCCCTCGAGAACCAGGTGCACCATATCGTCCAAAGGTATAAGATGATCAAGACCTCGCTGGAAAGGGCGGTCAGCCAACTCAGAAACCTCATCAGCACGAAAACCTCGTTCAACGACCGCTGTCAACAAGTTCAGATGAATACCGAAAAAGTAGAACAGGTTCTGGCTTTGCCCTGCGGCAATTCGAAACAAGAACTCGACGCGAGAATCGAACAACTCCGGGCGCTATGCAACGCGAAACCGGAATTAGAGAAGCCGGTCATCGAAATGTCCGAGCTCGGGGAGAATATCCAAGGATTCCTTAACATCGAGTCGCGTGACCAGATCCGTACCCAGATGCGTCGGCTCAAGGACCGTTGGGAGGACTGTTGGACGAAACTCTACGACCAGATCAAAATTCTCGACTCCAGCCTGCTGTCGTGGTCTGGCTTCGAAGACACGCTCGGCGTCGTCGTTGAGTGGCTAAACCAACTGGAACAGCAGGTGTCGTCGTCCGTCGAGCTCGTGCCGTCCCTATCCGACAAGATCACCCAGCTGCAGAGCTACAAGAGTTTGGGTCAAGATATCTGTTTGCACGAACCGGTGATGAATAAATTACGCGAGTACTCGACCAACATGAGCGATCAAAGGGTCAATGCAAAAGTGACCCAGGCTTTCGAGCGGCATACACAGGCTCAGACCGCGGTTCAAAAATGCGTGGAACTTTGCTCGCAACGAGTCAATCACCACGAAGATTTAAAGCTGAAATTATGCGATATGAGAAGCCTGATTGGCGACGTCGAGTCCAGGATCCAACAGCTGAAAGCTGTCAGGGCTCTAGACGGGGACTCGGCAAGGAAGGCGATTCATTTGGCGAAGGATATTCTCTCGTGTAAACCCGATGGGGATCGCATGTTGGAAGCGATTCGACAGCTCACAACCAGCGTCCTAAGCGAAACGGCCCAAGCTGGTCATTCCGTCATCGAAGGTGAGTAATCGGGGATCATGATTCTCCCCCTCCCCTTGAAGGATTTCTATCGACTAAGCGGCGCGTCGTCTCCCGACTTCGGGGAGCGAGGACGTCTTGGGTTGCATCAGGTTGAATATTTTACTATCTTTGCAGAGGAAACGGATGCTGTCGGTAAAGCTTGGGATCAACTGTTCGGGGTTTGCGTCGCAGTCTGTGCCGAGAGTCAATCCGTCATCGACGCTATTGAGACTTCGGAGAACGCCTGCAAAGAGCTCGAAGACTGGCTCGTCAACAATTTGCCCCGGGAACACGCTCTGAAAGCCACCGCTCGAGCCAAACACGAATACGTCGAGGAACTCAATCAACTCGAGCCGGAACTACTCAATCGGCAATCGCAAATCAACGCTCTGAAGAACATCCACGGAGAGAAGGTTGAAACCCTGCGTAACGCGTATGCATCTGGGATCACCAACGTACGGGAGACGACTCAGAAATGGACCCAGAACGCCAATCTCCATTCTGATTTCGATATCCGGTCCAACGATTTCGACGCATGGCTGTCTAGCTGCGAAGTCCGATTTCTCGACACGTCGAGAGGTCAGGGCGAGCAAGCCGATGTCAAGAAGTTCTTGGAAGACCTCCTCGACCACGTCACGCAAAAACAGGCCGAGTTGGACCGCCTCACCGATCTCGCGGAACGGGTGTATCCGCTGACTTCGGCAGACGGTCGAGAGAATATTCGCAGCAAGCTTCGCGATCTCGTCAAGCGTTACGAGAGGCTGTGCGAAAATCTCTCTAGCCACGTGAATAAACTGGAAAAATCCATCGGACAGATCGCCGACCTGAGACAAGCGCAACAAGTCCTCGAAAGCAACATCAAAGACTTCCTGACCGGTCTCAATTCGAACGAGCAATTGAAAGCCACACTGCAGGAGAAGAAAGCTCAGCTGCAGGCTCACAAGCTCGTGAACGAGGACATCATATCACAGAAACCGGTCGTGATGAACATGCTTCAGAGGACCAAAAATCTCGATCAGGCCCCAGACTTCGTGGCTTCTGTCCAGAAGTCCAAGACCGAGTACGAGGATCTTGTCGATAAGTCCGCGAAACTCCTGGATCGACTCGGCAAGGCCGTCGAGCACCATTCGGAATTGAATGATCTCATCCGGGAATTCAAGGAGTGGCTCCAGGTTTTGAGCCATCAGCTGGAGGAACACAAAGACTCGACCGGCGATCAGGAGCACATCCAGAGCAAACTCAAGTCACTCAATGTAAGATACAAACTTTCGTTCCAATCGTTCTATTGTTTTTTTTCAAACTCGGGGAGCGAGGAAGCTTCCGAGAAATTATTGAGATGACCGGACACTAACTGGTGAGATTTCCTCCGCCTCGCAGAACCTCAAGTCGAAGTTCGATCAGAGCGAATCAATGCTCAACCGTCTCCAGGCCGCGGCGGAACGGGTCTACCTGAGCACGAACGAGGCTGGAATAGCCGCTATCCAGCAGGAAATGACCGAACTGGAGGAAGCTCTCAGTCAACACGGTGCCACACGCGATGAGGCTCAGCATAATCTCGAGAACGTCATCAAGCAATGGACGAGTTTCAAAAAGAATCAGAAACTCATCGAAAACTACCTCCAGCAATCTGAGGCGGAGATCCAGTCGATTCAACAAGGCATTCGGAATTCCAGCCTCCAGGAGAAACAAGAGCTCTTAAAAACTGCGGAATCTCTGAAAGAAACCTTGGAGAGCTATCAAAAAACCATCGACGGGTTCACCGACGAAGGACATTCATTGTATCAAGCCTCGCGGTTCGAGTCTATCCAGACCAAAGTCACCCAAATCAATTCGAACTATCGAGCCCTATCATATTCGCTCAAAAAGCTCATCACCGGTCTATCGACCTCTCTCGACGGTCTTCAACAGTTCGACAAAGCCCTTGCGGCATTCGACATGTGGTTCGACGACGCCCAGATCACGTTTGAAACTAAAGTTCCAGACAGCGAATGGCAACCACAAAGAGTCCAAATGCAGGTTAGTTCAGATCCTCGGCACCATAGGCGATCTTTCGGGGAGAACGAGGGATGAGAAATTCACAAAATGTTCTTGAAATCCCCGAAGACGCTCCTTGGTCAGTGCAAGAGTCAAGGTCAGACCCTCTTGAACCAAGCCAACGCGAAAGCCGAGGTCATCATGCAGGACATCCCGCCGACATCTCGAGACGACATGCGGGACGGCATCAAGAGAAGGAGAGAGAAGCTGGATCAGCTGCAGGTCGACATTCAGGAAGCTCTCAGGTGATTATGAGGTGGCAACGGTGTCAGCTGATCGTTGATCCGAGGCTCAGCAGATAAATATGTTTCAAAAGAATAATCAGCTAACGAAGGGCCGATGACGGCTCAATACAGAGCGGGGCTTCTGCGCTCCGGTTCCCTTCCGAAATGCTGCAGCGGACGAGGCAGCTCACATTCCCCGCGTGATTTCAATGGTCACCTGCCACATAGGGGAACGCAGGTTTACCTCATTCAGTCGTCGCCGCGGCGGACCTGAGAAACTGGTTCCAGAGCCCCGCGCCTACGATTCCACCACCCTTCGCGATGGGGGAGGGCGATAGAGGGGACCGCAGTCGAAAAAAAAACTAAAGTATTAATTGCTTGCACGGCGTTAGAATTTCTACACCGATCACTCGTACTTGTTCACAACATTCGTTCCGCTTCCGCACTCAAGGCAACTTGACATCGACTCGGAGATTATCGGTCAGCTAACACAGCTGCTCGAAGAAGTGGATTCTGCAGTCGAGGAAGGTGGAATACTTCTCCGAGATTTCGAAAGCGGGCTGCCCGACACTTCGCGAATGCACGAAATGACCCACAACATGAAGGTCTCCGATCAAACCCTTCGGCAGCTGCTAGGGAGGCTGCAGCTAATCAGGAGCAAGCTGCGTTCCGAGGAATATCTGCGACAGGTAGATGATGCCGCCGACAAGGTCGCTAAAACGATGGCATCGCTGAAGGTAAATTTCACGCGCTAATGAGCACGGTGGGAGAGCATATTTCCCTTCAGCTTGAATAATCGTTTAAATCTTAAGCGACGGGCTCGAAGACGCTCGATCACTCGTTCGTCGAAATTCGCGAGGCTTAGAATTTGCATGGTTTTCGCTCACGACCGATAAATGATCCGAAATCGTATTCATCCCCGATGCAGAACGCCAGAACAACTCTCGAAGACTTCACATCCCTGATGTCCGACTTCGACGAATTGAAGTCAAACCACGAAACCCTTTGGCAACCGAAGATGAAGGACCGTCTCAAGGCCGGCTCCGACGTCAGCGGTAGCAAAAGCGTTCTGATCTCTCGACTCGACAAATTAACGACCGGCGTGACGAACCAGATCGCCGAAGGTGAGGTCACCATCGCGAAACTGAAGGACATCATTCCCAAAGTCGAAGGTCGGCTGCAGGTGGCGACTGTGTCGGACATGCAGGCGACTGTGGGGAACTTCGAACACGACCTCGAAACGGCCAAGGTGGAATTGGATGCCGCCACGAGGAGACTGGCTGACCAGTCGAAGCAATGGCAAGATTTCGAGGACGACTACGAGAAACTCAGTTCGTTGACGAACGACTGGGAAGCTCAAATCAAAGAGTTCTCCTTGAAGAACACCCTAGACGAGAAGATCGAATTGGCGGAAATGTTCAAGGCAAGTAGACATTTTTCTCTGAAAAATTGAGGATCGCGGTTCGCTGCGCACGGGATGACAATGAGATCCATTTCCCCCTTCCTAACGCAGGAATTGGCGAACGAAATCAGCTCCGCGCAGAACGCTTTCGACGAACTCGGCCAAGACGCCGAGGCTTTGGAAAAATCCAGTGGTGAACTGAGACTCTCGATGCAATCGTCTCAATTAATCACTAGATTCCAGTCGGTCCTCGCCACGTGCAAGGTACGTGTCGAGTGGTCTCATCCAGGTTGATGAATACAAGATAATTTCCTGCAAATCGATCATTGCCGGGATCCCTTCGGATTCCCCGCCACTCGCGGCCACAGCCCCGTCTCAAACGGAAGGCTCCCGGTGAGAATCGGATAAGTAGAAGCATCATGATAATACCCGGGGAATTTTCCATTTTTTAAGGACATCGCCAAGAAAACGGAGCAGCATGTCGTCGAGCATAAACAGTACCAGGAGAAATACGTTGCTTGCCTACGAGACATGGAGACCGCTCGAAGCAAATACGACAGAATCGTAGAAATGCCTTCCGGGAATAAGGACGATATGACAAAGAAATTGGAGGCCATCCGCGGAATGCTCGATCAACGAAGCACTCTCATGAACCTCGTCAATATCTGTGTTCAGGCCGGAGAGGTTCTGCAGTCAGGTAGTTCTCCGGCCGGATGGGAAATCGCTCAGAACCAGATTAAGCAACTGCAAGACCTCTACGATAGCATCTTCGATGGCTTAGCTGCTCTCGACAAATCGCTACAAGCCGCAAGCTTTCTATTGAGCGAGTACGAGGAGTCTTTGCGGAAAATGCGTCTCTTCATCGATTACATGAGCAACCAGCTTTTGATGATCAAACTCGAACCCACCTTTGACAAGAAACGTGCAACCGCTCGCCGAGCTCAAGATAGTCTCTCGGAGATGAACGACAATGTTTACCAAGTCGAAGAGCTCCAGACACGCGCTAAATCCGTCCCGGGACGAGACGCCGAATCCGAGCAGGCACTTCAGAAGGTCCTAGTGGACTTCGAACGACTCCACGGCCAATTGAAGGACGTCTCACAGGAGGCTGAGAACCGGGTCATGCAGCACGAAAGGCTCCGGACCAAGGTCACGGAGCTCTCCGATTGGTTGAACTGCTCTTCGCAGAAAATCGATGCCTGCTTGGACACCGGGGTCGACAAAGTGACGATGCGCAGCAATTTAGAAACCCTTCGCAGCATCTTAAACTCGTTCGACGAAAAACGAGCGGCAGTGGCCGCTCTGAAGGAGACCGATGTTCCCGCTGTCTTGCAGGGGACACATCACGATGGCCATGCCGCGATCAAGGCAGAAATCGATGCGTTGGAAAAGCGACTGGATGAGATGTTCAAGGGAGCCTTGCAAGATAAGGAAAACTTGGAAGAGACTCTCAGCCGACTTGATGACACAGAAAAACAGGCGGAACTCCTGAGGAGTTGGTTATCGACGATCGAATCCGAATTGAGGTCCATCATGCTCGGGGATAAATTGTCTACAAAACAAAAAACCCTCGACAACATTTCCGGTAAGTTACTTCTCTGCCAGAATGGGCGGAGATTCCAAGTCCCCGCACCCAGCTGCGGAAGCTTGACGCACCAAGATTCACCGGTGGATCCATATTCTTCAACTATTCGATTTCCCATTCCAGAACAAGCTGCCCAGATCTTGAGCAAAGAATCGGAAGTAATGAGCGTCGTCAAAGCGGTAGGATCCTTGGCAGATTCCGCTTCGGGCGAGAAAAAGATATCACGTCTCAGCGATCTCGAGTCGCGCTTCAAGCATATGAAGTCTTTCGCAACGGTACGTGACGTTTAGGGATACACCTCGCTAAGGCTCCGTGCAGAATTCTCTGTAGGGAGTAGTATCGCGGGAAAAACTTCGCTCCCAGGTCAATATATTCCTGTTTGGCTCCCTTGCAGGAACAAGAGTCGAAGTGGCAGAACTTCGTCGCGAACCACTCGAATTTCGACCAGAAAATTCGTGAAGCCAAGAGCAAGCTCTCAGACGCTCTCGGCAAGCTCGGCAGTATTGAGCAACAGACGGCTGGCGAAGTCGCGGACCTGGAGGGGAATATCGCAACCGTTCAGCTGCTCCTGAAAGACAAAGATGAGATTTTCTCAAAAATCAACGTCGTCAGTGGATTGTGCGAAGGTTTGCTCGGCGAAACAGCACCTGCGGGACACGCCGCTCTCCACAACGCGGTGCAGGAGCTGCAGGACATGAAGGGAGACTTCGTGAGTCGATTGAACGCTCTGAAGCGTGCTCTCGACGAACAACATCACGTCTGGAAAGATTATCTCAACATGGTGAACCAGGTGACTTCATTGATCGAGCAGGCTGAAGGAAATCTCAAACTGGCTCTTCAGCCACAGGACACGCTCTCCGAAAAGCGGGCTCAATGGGAGTCAGTGAAGCATCTGCTCTACGTCATGAAGCAGGACGAGAGCACCGTGTTCCAGCTGAAGAACAAAACCGCGAAACTCATCGAAAGCAAGCCTCCAAACAGATACACCGAGAAGGGCGAGAGAGCTGTGAATCGATATCACGAGCTCGTCTCTGAAATCGAGAGCGCCATCTCAACCCTCAATGAGATATATGCGCAACACAGCAAGCTCAAGGAGTGCGCCGACGAGCTGATCGGCTGGATGCGACAAATCCGATCGAAAATCCCCAATCTCACCAAGAGTCTCAGCGATCGTTTGGCGCTCGAGGCGGCGATCGAAGATCTTGAGAAGCTCCTGCCGAAAAGAAAGCAGGGCTCGGAGAAAATGAGCGCTCTCCTCGAAGCGAAGAGTCTCGTGCTCAGAGACGGCTGCACCTCGGAGGCCGGAAGGAAGATGGTTGAGACCGAGGTCGGAACTCTCCGTAACGATTTCCACGGGCTGTGCAACGAGATAGAAGAGGTCGATATGAAGCTACAGCAAGTCTGGGCGGAATTGAAGCAGTTCCGCAAGGACTACGAAGAGGTTTCCGAGGAACTACTGCAAGTCGAGACGGAGATCAAATCCTACAAACAACGTCTCCAGCCCGACCTCGAGGCGAAAGACAAAAACGTCGATGACATCAAAGCCTGCATCCAGCACCTGGACGACATTAAAGAGCAAGCGGACGACATCGCGAATGATGCGAAAAATCTCTTGGCCTCCCACCTCGAGAGCTACATCAGGAATCAATTGTCTGTCCTGACGTCTCGGTTGCAGGTCGCGGCTAACTTGGCTAGAGACGTTCTCGGTCGAGCCGAGGAAGCCTGCGAACAGCACCGAGCGTTCGCTGCATTGGTCCACAAAGCCAAGGATTGGATCCATACGGCAACGGCCCGACTGAACGCCTGCAGCGGAGCCAAAGACACTCGCGAAGAGCTGGAGGCTCAACTGAACAGTCTCCAGGAGCTGCTGAGGAAGATGGACGAAGGTCAGAGTTTGGTCCATTCGGTCGTGAACTCGAGCGATCGCGTTGTTAGATCAACGCATCAAGACGGGAAACAAACCATCATCGACGATGTCCACAAGCTTCAATCCGACCTCGAAATGCTGATGAGTCGCCTCGGCGACGCTAAGGTCGCGGCCGAGTCGGCTTTGATGCAATGGGATGACTTCAAATCCTCGGAGAAGCGAATGCGTCAGTGGATTGAAGACCACAAAAAGAAGCTGAGCGATCTCAAGAGCGAAGGTAGGCGACGCGACGGTCAATGCCGACGCACCTTTCTTTCAAACACCCGAAACTGAGTCAGATCGAATAATGAAAGATTCAATATTCGTGTAGGTATAGGAAAAAATTAGGAGACCCGCTTGTGGATTATTCGAATCTGAATAATATTGAAGCTTATCATATGCTCGCTCCAGGGGACAAAGGGGTCAGCCAGCGTCGGGTCCGTTTCCGAAGATATCAGTCACTCGCTCAGGACATCGAATCATTCGAGCCGATGATAGAGAGTGTCACGAGCAAAGGCCGTCAGCTGCAGCGCGACAAATCCGCCGCCGAGATCGAAGAGCAGTTCAAGGAACTCAGCGGATCTGCGAAATCATGCTGCACGAACGAGGGCCAGCTACTTCAGGCTCTCGACAAATTCGCCGACGCTTGCCAGAAATTCATCTCCTGGCAAAACGCCGCAAGCGAGAGAGTCTCAAAGGGCAGCCAGCCCAGTGGTGATCAGAATGAACTGCAGAACAGAGTGGATCTGCTAAAGGTTAGTCGGGGGGAGGAATGCCACGGCCATAGAATCAAACTCAGATTCCCAAAGAGTCTACGTAAGTAGCGCGGACTTCAAGCTTCGCAATCCCTTTCAGAGCGGGAGGTACTCGTGTCTATTAATAATTAATAATTTTCATTTACCTCATTCTCTAGAATCTCAATGACGACAAAGCCACTGGCAACGATCTGCTCTCTGAGGTCGTCTCCACCGGAACCGAATCTCACAAGTGCTTGTTGGCCGCCGACGAGCCCGAGGACGCCGATCTGGTGAATGTTGAAGTTGAAACTCGCAAGAAAGACTACGATGACTTCCTGAGGAGCTGTGATAAGCTCAAGCAGCTAATCGAGTCTGGACTCGAGCTCCGTGAAGACTACGAGGCCCAGTACCGAAAATGCTCCGAATGGCTCGATGCGACCCAGCCCCCAGTCGAGAACTTCGATCGGCTGTACGGCGATCTCTACGAGAAAAGGAAAGCTCTCGAAGAGTTCCAACAATTACTTCAAGTCGTATTCGAATGGCAGCCCGAGTTCGATGTGCTCAACAACAAAGCTCAGAAGCTCTTGGACATGTATTCTGACTCGACGATATCCACGAGTGTCGCTCAGCTCTCCAACCGTTATACGAATTTCGTCAGTAAAGCCAAGGACATCCTGCACGACCTCGAGCAGCACTTCCAAGAGCATCAACAGCAACAGTGCATTTACTCTGAGTGCATCGAGGTCATCGACCGAACTAAGGAGAAACTTGAGGATCTGCCAACTTCCCATGAGACTCAAGACGGAATCGAGTCGAAGGTAGCCTGTCTGAAAACTTTGGCTTCGACTCTCGAGCACAACACCCACCGGATCAGCTACCTCGATGAGCTCACCGAGAAAGTGATCAAGAGCACGTCGGCCGACGGAGCTCACCAGGTGGAGTCCGACAGCGCCAACGTAAAACAAGACCTCCAGAGCCTCGTCGACGAGGTCGCCAAGCGGCTCAGAGAGGCACAGGAGCTGCTCGAGGAGTTCACAGATTTCACGAATGAATTCCGTAGGTTCTCGAATTACCTCGATGAGCTTAAGCTCGACGACGTGGCGGAGAAGACCACACTGCCCGATAAGAAGCTGCTTTTCGACAAATACAAGTTCGTTATGAACGATCTCGAGTCATTCAGCGACTTGGCTTCGAAACTCCGATCGAAAGAAGGAGGGAAATTCGCTGAAAAAGCCAAGCTCATCGTGCAGAAATACGATTCCGTTCTGCAGACCGTCCAGGATCAACTCCGTTCCTTGGAATGGGACATCAAAACCATGGAGGAGTACATGGCCGCCGCGGCTTCGGCTTCCGAGTGGCTAGCGGACGCCCACGACAAGGTGAAGAAGTGCAACGACACTTCAGGCAGCGAGAACGCTATCCGGGAGCGTCGGGAAATTCTCAGAACGCTACGAGAGAATCTCGCCGAGGGCGAACGGCTCGTGACCCAGTGCAGTTTTCTCTGGGACCATCTCAAGCCCACTTGGGTTCACTCGGTCGAAGAACACGTCACGGGTCAGCTGCGTCAAATGGAGGAAGACTTCGAATCCCTGAAGCAGCTGTTCGCAAGCGCAGAAGAAGAGCTCGATAAATGTCTGTCGTCGTGGGAGAATTTCAACTCGCTCTTCGATTCGTTATCGCGATGGATCGGCGATTTCGAATCGGCGACCAAAACAGCCATTGCCGAAGTCGACTCCGACTCGGCGAACTGGCCGAGCCTCGAGAAGACGCTGACGAACTTGTTGAGCGACGCATCCAACAAACGATCCGACGTCGACAGTCTCAACCAGCTCTGTGAGAATCTCGTTGCGTCAACCGTCCGTGTCAGGGAGCAGGTGGTGTCGATATCGAGCAACTACGCATCGCTCGTCGGGTCTCTCAAAGACAGTCTAGCCAAGGTTCAGAAGAGCCAGGTTCAGCACGAACAGTTTGAAAACGCTCGGAACGCGTTCACGGACTGGCTCAAGAACGCCCTGACCGTGTTCGACAACAACAGAGAGATGTCGATGAAGGACATCGGGACTCGGGTCGAACGGCTTCAGACTCTGAACAGCGATATTCCCACGGGGAGAAATCACCTCGCGAACGTTGTTGAGGCCGGCACCCGTTTACTGCTGTCGTCGTCGAGCGATTCGAATGTCCGAAGCGACATCGACAACATGCAGAAAGAACTCACGAAACTCTCAAGTGACCTGAGTGAAACACTATCCAAGCTCTTGTCCTTGTCCAAGAGGTGGTCCGAGGCTATGACCAAAAAGCAGATCCTGGCTCAATGGATCGAGAAAATGTCCCGTGAGCTCCAGTCTCCGCTTCCGAGCGGGGACGTGGTCCAGATCCGCAACAACATCGAGTTCTGTAAATCTTCCATTGCCAGCATCGAGCAGCAGTCCATCAAGCTGGACGAGCTGCTTTCGGAAGTTGTGGAACTCTGCGAGAGAACCGGAGACCACGAAATCATATCCGAGCTCGATGAGCTGCGAGAGCGCTTGAACGTGCTACACGGCCGAACACAGAGCGCTCTGGAGTCTTTGGAAAGCGATCTGGCTGCACTTCAGGCCTACCAGAAACTGCTCCAGGAGACGGAGAAATGGCTGCTTCAGATGAACATGCAGATCATGGCGCAGCATTCGCTGCAGATTCTCAATTGCGAGCAGACGGAGAAAGAACTCGAAAAGTACCAGAGTCTCCTGAACGAAGTTCGCGCATACGAGACGAACATCACCGATGTTTGCTCGACCGGTCAGGCTCTGATCGACGCTTACGAAGCTTCGGCGCCTCAGACGGCAGAAACCGTTTCCCAGCAGATCGACAACATTCGGGAAAGTTACACGTCGTTGTTAGCTGCAGCTATAAAGATTCAGTCGAGGCTAGAGAACGCTTTGGAGAAGTTCCGCGCATACGAGAAAATGATCTCCTACTGCGAAGGTCTGCTGAACGAAACAGAGAGCTCGATCACCGGACCTCAAGAGCAGCCGAAGACCAAGGACGCGATCAAGTTCGCTCTCGATGCCAAACAGGCTAAACTGAACCAGCTCAGCCAGGCTCGAGACTCCTTGCAGTCGGCCATTCAGTCTTGCTTGGACGCGGTGTCTTCTGTGAGCAGGCCATCTAGTCCCGAAGTCAGCCAGGTCTTCAAGCTTCCCGAACAGGAGGTCTTCGTCAAGATACGACTCCAGGACTGCATCGAGCAGCTGGAGCAACAGATTCAGGACCTCAGCGAGCTGCTCGTCAACATGGAAAACGTCACCAAACGCCTGGAGGAAGCCCGTAGATGGTTAGCTGCCCAGCATTCGCTCGTCGGTCAAATATCTAAGGATAAGCTCTCGTGGGACCTCGGCGCGATTCACGGGAACTTGCGGAAACTCGAGGGAATCGCTGTCGACCTCACCGGTCAGAAGGACACTCTCGAGAAATTCCTCCTCTCGACCCACGTGCCGATGGACGAGGCGATCAGCGGTGATTTCGCGGCTCTGAGAACGAAGCTGGACGAGAGCTTAGAACAGCAACGCGACCACCTCGAGAAAGTCGAGGGCTTGAACACGCTCGTCGACGAGATCCGAGCGAAGATCAACGATGTTGAAGCATCCCTCGTCGCTGCTGATAAACCAGCCCGTGGCAACGCTAAGCAACGCCAACAAGCTCTCCAAGCGATACTGATGGATTGCGACGTTGTCGACGAACGAATTTCGGCGGCGAGAACGCAGCTCGGGCTTCTCAAAGGTGTTCTGCAAGATCAGGACTACAGCAAGCTCCACGACGAACTCGGAGAAGCCACCAAGAAATCTGACGATCAACGGAAGCGAATTCTCCGACGTTCGAAAAGTCTCGACCTCATTCAAACGAATTTCGACGCTTTGGCGAACGACATCAAGCAGGGCGGCGACTGGGCCGATGAGAAACTCGCCTCCTTGCGGGCATCCTGCAATCCAGGATACTCCCCGAGACCAATCGAGGATCGTCTCCAGGACTCGAAAGTTTGCTGCTCGGAAGTGCAGAACATGTCCTTGATCCTTCCCGATCTCGAAAGCAGGACGTCGTCGCTCATAAACGACCTGGACACTTTCGATTCGCAGAAACTGAATCAGAGTCTCGACGATCTACGGAGCAAGTTCGCCAACGTCAAGGACTTAGCTGAGAACCGCAGGGACGACCTCGCGAAAGTTCTCGACAAGAGTCGGGAGTTGGAGTCGATTTTGAAACAGTGTCATCAATTCATCAACGAGAAGAGATCGGAAAAAGTCGATCGGGAAATCCCGATCAGCGATCAGCTGAGATCCTATCAGAAGAAACTTTCCGAACTGAAACAGTTCGAGGATTCGACGCTGAAGGAACTTCTCAGACGGGGATTCGCTATGGAGCAGCATTGTGACCCCGAAGCCAAAGAGTCGCTGAAGAGCGAGATCCAGAAGCACGTCGACGACTTCAACGCTCTCACGGTGGAAACCGTCGAGAAGATCCAGCTTTTGAGCAAACTATCCGAGACCGAAGAAGAGTTCAACAGACTGATGAACAGCACCCAGCACCTGTTGGACGAGACCGAGGCTTCCGCGCAAACCGATGTCATCACAGACGCCGCACCGTCGGTTCTAGAAGAACAGATCCAATCGTTCAATCGTCTGCACAACGCGACGCGGCGCCTTTCCGGCGACCTCGGCAAGCTGAAGGAGCTCCGCGACGATCTACGACCCCGAACAAAGCTCGCCAAAGCGGACCGAATCGAAGTGTTCGAACAATTGAAAACAAAGCTCCGAAACGACATCGACGAGAAGATCCGACTGCTGAGAGACTCGTTCGAGAATCAGTCTCAGCTCCGGGTTCAAATCAAAGAGCTGAGATCGAAACTCGAGGACCTGAGTCGGCAGTACGACCAGCTGAACGGCCCCATCGGCGGCACGGTTGACGATGCCAAGACCGCAGTCCTGTCGTCGCAGAAGCTGCAGGACGAGTTGCACGAGCTCGAGAACGAGATCAACACCATCGTGTCGAGACCGTTCCTCAAGGACGAAATCACTTCTCTGAGCAATGACGCCAGCGCTCTCGGCAAAAGAATCGAACGGCTTCTGGCCAAGGTGCGGAACGGAGTTCAGCTCCGAGAGGCGTTCTACCGAATCGTCGAATCGGTCAAAGAGACAGCGACGAAAGTCGAAGACACCCTGCGCCACATCGACGAATCGCGCAAATCGTTGGCCGAAAGGATTCCCGTCTACACCCAGTCACTTTCGGACTTGGGTGAGGCGGAAGGGCAGCTGCAGGTGGCGCAGGACAAACTTGACAAGATGGCGCCGGACACGATCGTCGCCGATCAGAACGATAATCAGCAGACCCTGCAGCAGATGAAGAACTCTCTCTTGCAGCTCAGGAAACGAATCCAGGACCTCCAGGTCCACCACGAGTCTATGCTCAAGGAACAGGCTAAGCTCCTAGGAAGATTCGACAAGCTGATCCAGAACCTCCAAGACGACGAGACGAAGGTCAAACAGCGACCTCAGCTCTCGTCGTCCGGTGACGACATCGCCCGTTTCCTGAACGAGCAGCAATCCTTGGAAAAATCGGTCGATCAACACCTGCTCCAAGCCGAGGAGCTTCGCAACGAAGTGATGAATCAAGTTCCCGAGAACGCTTCACGATTCGAGGAGAAACTCGGCGAACTCGCGCGGTACAACAGCTCCCTGCCCAGAGACCTGCAGGACCGCCGACTTTACCTCGAAGAGGCCCGGGCGATGAGGCTCGAGATGAAGTCTCATCTAGACGCTGTCGCCGGATGGATAGAGTCGGCGAATTGCATTCTGCAGCAGACCGTGGACTATGACAACCTCGACAAGGTTACCTCGGACTTGAAGTCGTTGGTTTCGGAGAGCGAGGAACACGACCAGAGTCTGAAAGCCTGTCAGAGCCTTCTCCCGAAGCTCCGATCGACGATGCGCGACGACGACGCGATCGCTTTGGATAGAACAATACTTGGCACAGCGCAAGAGTTCCACGACCTGGTCTCGCGGCTCCAGAAGAAACTCGCTGATCTGACCGACGACATGAACCTGGTGAACAACCTCAAGAAACTCCTCCAGAAAGCCCAGGCTCTCATCAGCAAGGTCAAGCTCTCCGAAGGCTGGCCCGATTCGATCCCGGCCGTTCAACTGCGAATCAAAGAACTCAAGAAAGCCTCGTGAGTCTTGTGGCACCCGCTTTTGAACTCTATGAAAACTAGCAAAGATCAACGAACAAATAAAATAATAATATTCCCGATCGGAGTATGAATGAATATATTCTGACCGGGTGAGCCGAAGTCTAAGCGTACGAAATTGCAGGAAAGACATGCAAGCCCAGCAAAGTTTGATCAACGAGTTCAACGCCGTATCCGCCGTGCTCGAGCAGAAAGCGAGCCCTGATACACGGAAACATATCTCAGCGTATGTCGCCCAAGTCAACGATCAATGGCAGAAACTCTTGAGCGATATCGCGGATCAGCTCAAGGTTCTTGAGGATGTCCTGCACAAGTGGGAATCGTACATGAAGACTCACAACGACGCCGACACCAAGATCACGCACGCAGAGAACGAGCTCAAACAAGGCAAAGCAACGATCAACGACCTCGATGCGGCAGACACTATTCTACAGGCAAGTGCTTCCCCAACAGGATTCCGCATCCGGCTCGGGAAGAGCTCGGTGCCAGCCAAAGCTTCGACGGCCAATCGGGGTATTCGAATTACCTAATTAGAATCGAGCCACCGGGAAAATAGCATCCGAATCGATAACATTCTACAACGGAAATGAATGTTTCATGAAGATGCTCGTGGCAAGGTGCCGCTCCGGAACGCGGAGTGCAGAGCGAGACTCGGTGAGAATCGAGAGTAATGTTCGATTGTAATTGCAGAGTCTCGAAACGAGCCTCGTTGAGCTTCGTGAAATCGTGAGGGCAACCGACGACCTCTCCCGACCGGTGCTAGCCTACCTCGTCAGCCACGGATCCGAGCAGAACATCGCCATAGAAAAACAAGTACAATCTCTCAAAGATCGGATCGAGCGGTAAGTTGACCCCGCCCATATAGTTACTATATTCCACCCCGCCCCTGTGAATCTGGGACGTTCAGAGCTCGACCGATCTCCACTGTTCACTTAGTGAGTGAGACAGCTGGCAGATCCTCATGTTGACCGTTAGCTCCTCCTCAGTTCGTCTGGATTTCGATGGAAAAGATTCTGAAAGTTTCTGATTCGCAAGCTTCGCAGGGGTAGCTATAGGGTGCTAGCTGGACGCCCGTAAGAGTTGAGAAGAGAGCGCGATAAAAAATGCGGACCGCTGCAGAAGACAGCTGTGCTGCTTAAACTCGGAGTTTCCCTCTCGCGGCATCTGCAGAACGTTTGCGATGAGAGTCGCTTACTCTCCCAATCCTGACGCCGAAGCGTGGGAAATTCGGGGTAACCTCCCAAGTCTCTCAAACCCCAGGAGAATATTTATTCCGAATTTTCGATCCCCTACATGTATTCAATGTTCCGCATTGGTCAGTCGAGTAATCGGATCGACCTGCGCTGCGACTGCAGTCTCTTCCGGCATCCGATGTTCTACCTTAACTGTTCTGTCACGTGCTTGGCTAGTGTGAGATAAGTCCGGGCAATACACCCGATTGCTCGTCGTTCGTGGAGACGAGCCAGCTCGGCGAATTCCTCGAGACAAGGGTCACGAGCAGAGTGTTGCGAAGGTCTTCTTCGCCGCAAAAACAACAACGACCGTAGTACCAATGAACTAGGTACAGTATAAACAGCCAGCCGAGAGGCGTTGATGGGAGAAATCACGGAGCCTTGCAGCTGTTACTCAAATATTGGAAGAATGCTCATCTCAGCCGGGCGCGCTTCGGATAATTGCTTCATTTGCTCGAGGTTTGCTGTGCTCAGCTTCTATTTCCAAATTTCCCCGTGAATCACCGGTCACTATCCGTTGAAAATTCCGGACGTGACCTCTGATCTGACTGGCCGAATCATTGTTTGACGACAGCTCAGAACATTGTTTTGATATCGCCGCCGGCACCTTCACGATGACAGTCCGGCGATCGCTCTCGGAGCATGCAGAGCCGAACGTTGTCTCATCCGCAAATGATTTCGACGTTTTTCCGAGCTAACGAAACTTCAGCGACGACCGGAGAACGGTGCCTCCTATTCAGCGAACGAACCTGGAAAATGCGAGAGACCAGCCATTCGGTGAGGGGAGAGACGGAGCGAAGCTCCACCTTGACACTGGTATCGCATTCCCCGCGCTCAGCCGCATGCTCCGGTGTCGTCTCGCCTTGGAACACATGTGCGACTTTAGGAGTGGAGAGCAGAGGCCTTTCTCTCCAGCCGCTCCGCGCACATTGTCGTTCGCTCCCGTGAGCGTTTGTTGTTGTCGGCTGCAAAATGTTTTAACTACTTGAACAGAATCGGTGCGCTCTGAGTTCAGGAAGCTGATTTCTTTGAGGATGAATCATCTCCGCCGAGAGAAGTCAGACGTACTCAACGGAGCGCCGTCAGCGAGCGTGAGCAATTCAGTGCATGTGTAGTTTTCGATGTCGAGGAGGCGGACCTGCATATCGGAGCCTTGGCGATGACAGAAGGACATTCGAAATGGAATTCGAAACACCGCATAACGAGAGTTTCTTCTCGAGCCTCTCGAGGAACCGAACTGAGTGAGGTCCTTTCCCAGTCAGACCTCGTTGGTTGTCAAGGCCACGGTTCGTATTATTGTAACATATTAAAAATATTCGTACCACAGAGCGGCCCTTCCCAGCTCTCTCTATGATCGAGGGGATGGTGGTGTTTTTACTCGTGTCGCAAGAAGCCGATATTTGCATCGAGTGTTACAGAAACCGTCAATGAATCATTGGAAAGTTTATCGTTGATTTACGGCACCAATCGACTCGTTGAGGTCCCTTGGCCGCCGGTACCGCACAGTCACACCACCGACCGAAGGTTTCTCTCAGTCGCTTACAAGGCCCTAGAATTCGGCATGAAGTACCCATTCTGGGAACTGTCGGCTACCTATTCTCCGACTGAAGTCTGCTTAGCTGCCTCTACGGGGGAATTCCCTCCGATCCGTGAGAGCTGCTTCCGACGGCGCGTGCTCCTCGGTTCGATTCCTGCCAATACTCGCACAGGGTTGGAATCTGTTCGAGGAGCGCCTTCATGTGCAGGAAAATCAGCGGCACGGCTCGTGGCGATCGTTTGATACGACGATGAATAGTTCTCGAGTAGTTCGCGCAGTGAGTGTTTACGGTGTCTATGTCTGTGCGTATGTGTAGGTATATGTCTTGAGCGCTGCGGTTGGTGGTGGTGCTGTTGTGGCCGAACTCTCTTCGCGGGATGGTTTCTCAGGGTCTGGGCTCGCCATTTCTATTTTTACTTTCGCCAGAGCTCTGTAGGGTTCACTCTATGGTGCGCAGTAGTAGGTATTAAAGTGAGTGTAGCTCATGCGATACTGTTGTGGATTACACGGTTGAGAATTGTGATCGCGTAGTATTTTAGTTGATCCGTGCGGGTGTAAGTGAGTGTTCGTGAACCGTGGTGATGTGATAGGAACTCGGCGGCTCTACGAATTCCCTCAGTGCTCGAAACTCGTCGTAATGGTGAGGTCCGCGAGAGCTCTGCGTGTCGGCCATGACGGCAGATCTCGGATCAGCGGGAATCGCTCAGTATCGAGATGGGCCGCCTGTCCCACCTCTGAAGTCCAGTGGAACTCCCTTGCCTCTTTTTTGAGAATCGACGGGGAAAAAACGCGGTACGGAGAGTTCCTGAGGTGGAGAGCTCTGTTTCATGTTTTCCTCTTCTCAATTGCAGATTGGAGACCGACATTGGCGAACAACTAGCACTGGTGAAAGAGGAGAAACAGATTTCGGAGCATTTGAATGCACGAATTGAGCATTTATCGAAGCAACTTCAAGAATTGGCGGAACAGGTGAAAGATCTCGACGTCATGTCCGACGACGAGAACTTAGAGCACTTCATCGAGCAGATGCGGCAGGACGTGCAGGACCTCAGCAAAGAAGTCAGGGACATGGCGGAATCGACGAATCGGAGATACCTCTCGCGTCGAATGTCGATACCGGACGCGATCGGACAAGCGCTATCGTCGCTTGAGGTTCTGTCCGAGGCGGTATCGGGTTCGTTGGACGACAAAGAGAAACAATTCACTCTAGCTGTGAAATGCCGTAAGGAATATATTGCGGCGGTGAGGAAGGTCGTCGAGTGGCTCGAAAGAGCGCAGCAAACACTTCAAGACAAAGAATCAAACATCAGCGAAATCGAGACGCAGCTCATGTCGTTGTCGAGCCAGGTCCCCGATATCAAGCACACGATGCATAACGGAGTGACACGGAACGGCCAACAGATCGCAGAGTGGTCGACGGATACCGAGGAAAAAACTTCCATACTGTCGACGATTAGCTCTCTCGGCGAAAAACTCGTCGAAGTCGACAACTGGATTCAGGAAAGACTCCTGCAAGTCAAGAACGCACACCATCTCAGGGAACGCTTCCTGGCTCTCCACGAGAACCTTCAGAAATGGATCGGAGACAATATGACGTTCCTCACCGACAAGGAGCCTCTGGTGACCTTAGACGTCACTAAGCGGCGTGTCGCTAAAGCCAAGGTTAGTAGGTTGCACACCATCGCTCGACAGATTCGACGAGACCCGCCTCGTCGGACTTGACCCACATCGTCGCGCTTTGCTTGGCCTGGGCGTTCGTTTCCGTACGAGAGTTCGACTCGGAGATGACGTTTCCATACTAAACTGACCGAGCTTTGGATCTTTGAGAATCCGATCGTGTCAATCAGAGAGAAATTTTTCTCATTTGCAGGAAATGAAGCACGACATTCCACAATCGCAAGGCTACCTGAACGAAATGGGAACTCTCATCAATAAAATCGGTGATATTTGTGATATCGCGGACCTCCTAGCTATTCTCGATGCCGATGAGGAGCAGCAAAGTTCCACTGAATCCCACCTGGTAGAAGAAGTTACCCTGCTCAACGAGATGATCGAGGAATGGGAACAATGCGAACGGAAGATCAAAGAGGTCACAGACTGGATCGGCAAATGCTTCAGCAAACTCGAAAGCCCACAGGGATCTCCTCAGAGAAACAAAAACCTGAGGTCGGTATCCGATCCGCACTTCGAGCCCTAAGCCCTAGTTCTAAGCGCGATTTCTCCGGCTGTCTGTATTCTTTCACTTCTTCTGCACGAAATCTGATTTTTCTTCTTTTTCTCTCCGATAGGGAACAGCTCAATATGCGCGAGAAAATTCTGAAGGACGTTGCGACGCAACGAACTCGCCTCGCGATGGCCATAGAGAAGCTGCTCGTTCATTTCAAGGATCGAAATTATTCTGGCCAGGAGAATCAGATGGTGCTCCAAGTGGGAGAACTGTCCCTCGAGCTCGCACGACTTCAAGCAGATGTTGATCAGCAGTGTCAAACGCTGTCCGTCTGTCTTTCGCAAGAAGAACAGTATCAGCAAGATCTTCAGAGACTGCGCCAGCTATTGGCAATGTCAGAACGTCAATTGAAGATTGCCTGCAGTCCCGCCATGAGTGTGCAGGAGAAACAGGAGCAGCTCAAGCTGCAGCAGGTGAGTGATCTTCGAATAGAATCATTGTTCTTTCGAATGCAGCAGTGTTTCTCCCGCGTAGATTCAACAATTGATTAGGTGCTATGCAAACTCTCTCGGTCGCTGCCATGAGAGTTCACTGTACTACTAACGCATTGGTACGCACGCTTCGGGCTCAAGGCTGTCGCATACTACTGCTGCTATTCTATTGTGCAATAATCTCCGGTTGGTTGCTTGATTGCTTCGCTCGATTGCGTCCTCAGTCAGCAAGAATCGGCCTATGGTGGCGGTGCTTTGGTCTTGGGGCTTCGGATCAACTTCATCGACAACGCCATCGAGAGCAACATTCATCATCATGATCATAAACCGACTAATTGGATCTATTGAAGCTACCTAGTTCTGATATATGTCTAGCATTCTTGGTTCCGATACCAATGTGACTCGATCTACCTACTACTAGCAGAATGTGAACTGATCGGAGAGAAGGCTGACCGACGGAGTCGGGAACGGTGTGCAGTTGAGTGCAGTTGGGTGCAGTTGAACCCTTGACTTCATGGACCTACGAATACGTGTGATTTTTGTTTCATCCTTCCTCTTGTGTTCTTCGATTCCGCGAGTTATTGTGTTACCCTCCGAAACCCCTAGGAGTATTTTGTTCGTGAGACTCGCGTGACGTGTCGCTTTTCGTGAGCTCGCTGGTAACGGAAGAGCAGTTGTAGCGGAACATGTCGGGGAGGTTGGGGGGAGGGGGCGCGCGAAAACCGTGCATGCTGTGAGTGCTGTCTCGGGGAATTGGTTGGTGGCTTCGGTGAACCGATGATTGACCCGATTCTTCTTTCTTCTTCTCCTCCTCCCTCCTATTTCTGTATCCGTCCCGATATAGATATTCCGTGACCAAATCGCCTCCTACAAGTCGCAAGTCACCGAGCTCCAAGAACGCTTGAAGAAGCTTCAGAATAAGCATCTGCCGGACGTTGAGCCATTCCGCGTGAAGATTCAGGCTCTACCCAAGGATCTGGTCGCGTCGAAACCTCATCTGGCTGCCTTGATGGAAGTTCCCGAACACCGTCCCTACGTTCGTACACCGCGCGCGAGCGCGAGACCTTCCCGGGAGGCGAGTCCCGACCGACCGATGTCTTCTTTGAGCTGGTTCCTGCCGACGCCTTCAGGACCAGCGGCTTCCGGAATAACACCCGAAGCTCTTTTGGAAGGCGTGTTCCAAAGCCCGAAACTCGTGTCGACTCTTGGCGGAGCCGACGACGATGACGTTACCGACATACGAGTACCGGTACCCACTCCTACGCCCCCTCCTCCCTCCTCTCATCCAATGACCTCTTCGGGGGGCATCGCGCCCGTGACCGAGATCATAGTCGTTTACGCCGCGACTCGAGAGGACGGCGGAGGCGTCAAACCGAAAAAACGACCGGATGTGATTTCCGCTTCACCAGTGTCAAACAAAAAACAGAAAAGTAATTCGCCCGAGGGTGGCAGTACTACCGTGATGCAAGTACTTCAAACGAGCACACAGATGCAGACACCGCCTACGACGGTGATCAGCACTCAAGCGAGCGCCGTCACTCTGCCCAGTGCTAGTGTAGTTCAGCCTCTGGTTGTGTCCTCCGCGACAGCTACTACGACAACGACGGAATCGACTCGGCCTTTTTCGCCGAGACAACAGGCTCCGGCGAATTATGCCACCGAAATTGTGTCTGATTCTCCTCCTGAAAGAGACGAAATTTCGGATGACAAGGTTTGAACCTGCTCTGATTTTGACAAGAGTTTTTGTTCTCGTGCATGGCGTGCGTTGTGGAGTGTTTGCAGTTGTTGATTCAGCGGATAATTTTACCCCATTCAGATAGATACCCGTCTTCACAGTCGATCACCCGCTGTCTCTCCTCTGGCTTCCTTCGAATTTTCACTCCCCATTTCTCTGGCGCCCTCTCTCTCATACTCTCACTTCCTCTCTCTCTCTTCCTGGCTCTCTGTCTCTCTCCGGCTTTCTCTCTTTCTCTCGCTTTCTGTCTCTCTCCCTCCCAATGCTGTAATAACTAATAACCACCTCTCCCCATCGTGGGCTCTGACGCGATACGTTTTCCGAGTCGTTCGATTGTCCATGGGAATGACTTCAGAAGATCATCGTAGCTGTCATAGGTAAGCCCATCGTAGATAGGAAGCGTTACGATCAGCCACGATTTCCATCCCGTGTCCTGGAATAATTTCCCTCCCGAAGTTGTGTATCTATCTTCGAATCAGGTTATCCGTCGGCTGCAAGCTCCCAACGCTTCATTTCTATAGGCCGCCAAACTAACTTGGGCAGGGTATTCCAAGACGATACTCAATTGATGCTCCAGGCTCGTACTTGCATGACGGTATCTCCATCCATCCATTCATCAATCCAAACGAAAATCAATCACTCAGTCTATCTATCGACAGAGAGGTCATAGGTTCATTTATTTGCGCTCAGACTACTGACAGCTCGGCGACTCACAAATCTAGTCATCTTCAGATCAGATGATCTGGCGAGGGAGGACAGATAATAAGGGAAATGCGAAAGCTTCAGCTTCACTGTGAGGTGTCCTGAAGTTGATGCTCCCTCCACTGCCAATCAGAGAAACTCCCCTGTTGCCCAATACGGATCCTTCCGTGAGGTTTCCCGCATTGCGCGGAGGAATCCGCATCGTGGCAACGAGGGTGCCATAGGTGTCAAAGTACGTGTTCGTAGTTCCGCGCTCAAGACTTTTGCATTTATTGCTCGAACTTTCTTTCTCGCTGAATCCTCATCCTCGAGGAAGCTCCATATTCGGATGTCCAGAGGAAGAGCTACATGGCTCAGTTAGAGTTCCTGCCGCTTCGCGGCTCCCGAGCCATTCATTTATACATTCATCCGTGCCTTCATTCAATTTCTCATGCAATCTCTCCTTCCGTGGGGACTCTTTTTGTTTCTGTTGATCTTATTACGCTTGATCTTATTATTGTTACTCTCATCGCTGTAAACTGTCCCAACTGCATTTTTGCGAAACAGAGGAGATCTGAGAATTTCCTCCCAATTTTCGAAACGACTGCAATAAAACGAATCATTCGTAGAGTATGGAAAAATGTTCCGGTGTTCTCACGCTGCCGTACGAACGCTTGCCTCGATCCAGCTTCCGTCAAACAGCCTTTTCTTCGTCGGTACTTCGGTGTAATAACGCATTAAGGGGTGAAGGGCAAACCAATAATGGAACTTTGTCGCCTCATCGGTGGTTTGTGTGTGAGCGTGAGTGTTTCTAAGTGTGTCGCACATACTAACATCCACGCAGGCCATACGTAGATGAAATCGTCGATTATTATTATTCTTATATATACATACATACATATATTGATATTATTCTACCTATATTGTTCAAAATGGTAAGCTTAGAGAGGTATCCGCGTAAGCATCGAAGTATAACTTCGGGAGGTAAGCTTAGGACAGCTTTTGAATTTCGATCGAATCGCTTGCAGGACCTATCCGACTTCAATGTGGTTGAGGGGCTCGTGGCCAATGTGAGCTACCATTCGGACTCTGACGACGCGGTTATCGTTGAAACAGAGTCTCGCACACCGATCACAGGCCCGAAAATTGTTTCGTCGAGAGTCGTCGAAGATCTTGACTCTCAAAAAACAGTCGAACTCAAGTTCGAAGAGCAATTTAGTGTGACGCATTATACGTTCGAGATAGCTAAATTCAATTTAGATAGTGGCGAAAATGTACAGGGTGGCGACGATGGCGACAACGACGGCAGTTCCCACGATACCGGCGGGGACTTCGAGGTTTGGCCGGAAGAGCTTCCCGCTACTTCGGCACAGAGTCTTGACCCAAATGCGTTATCGCACAGAAAAGCTCGTTCAAGGTCACGATCGCGAAAACCCCATGTGCTGCAGGTCAGAGACAGCTCCTGGTCGGTGGTTGAGGATAAAGCAATATTAAAAGAAGGTTTCGAAATCGTTCCCGAGCAGTCACAACGCCCATCTTTGCGGGAAGAGACGTCAGGACACTTAGAAGATTGTGGGCTAGAGGGAGAATCTCGCGTGACCAGCGCGAGTGCAGATTCGGAATCGTTCGCTATAGCGGGAGCGGAGGTCGAGAGTCGGTTTAGGCGACAAAGCGAGAGCATTATCCCAGTCGTGTCTCCGATTGGATTCGAAGTCGGGGCCGAGAAACTCGAAGCGTTCTCGCTAAAAGCGATGGAGCACTCGGTTTTGGAGCAGCCCGCAGACCTGTCACAGGAAGATCCACTGATCCATGTTGTCACGCCGGACGACGCCGACGGCGCAACAGGGACGCTCGTCGAGTCGACCGCACTGCCATTGCCAGACTCCGAGCGTGCCCCAGGCGGTGTAGCGGATGGGGCCCCGGGCTCCGCAGAGAAATCCGAAGAGTGGGGTTCGATTGAAGAATCGAAGTCATCAGAGGACTTGTTTAAATCTGCCCTCGAGACTCAGGACGTTCCGTCGGACGATGCGCTCTTCATGAGCGCGGTCGGCAACATCGAACTCCTGACGAAAGAGGCATCTTTCGCTCAGAAGAAAAGGGCCAATAAAGGCCGTTCGAAGAAGTCCAGAGGCACAAGGCAGACAGGAGTGATTCCGACGCCGACTCTAGCAGAAGATGAAACTGCAGGAGCCCACGTTGAATCGAAGCAAGGACGGCTCGAAGCGGTGAACCTCGATGAGCCGGTCGGCTCCCGATCGCTTACGGCAGAGAGGGAGAACCGTTCGCCGGAGCTTCCGGCTGAAAACCCCGAGCCTACTAGAGAGACAGAAGCTGGCGCTCCCGGAGAATTCACCACGGTGGTTGAGCGAAAAAAGAAGCGGAAGGCGAAACATCCTCTCGGGAAACCTCCAAGCGATGTTGCAGGAGATCAACGACCCATCGAATTGACGGGTCCCACGGAATCCTGCGATAGGTTTTCTTCGCAGATCGAGCCCTCGAGTGGGTCTCCTTCCGAGGCTGTCGATGAAAGGATCGGTGGACGTGGGGCCGAGCTCGGATTCCCCGTCGCAATGCCACGAGCGGGAACTCCTACGGATCAGATGCAAGACGTCGTGCAAGTCGCAAGAACTCTCGAATCATCGACTCTGACACCGGCATTGGATCGTTCCCCAATTGAAACGGAAGAAAGCTCAAACCAACTAATATCAGGGGTCGAAAACGTGCCCGATACCGATGGCTCTCGGACGGATAGGGTCATCAGCGACGAAGAGTTGATTCGAATGTCTTCGATCCAAAGAATGGAAGATTCCTTTGCTGTCGAAGGTGGTGAACGTTCCGGGGCCGAAGTCGATTCATCCGCCGTCGAAAGGTTGGTCCAAGCTAGGAGATCCGTCGCTGAGTCCGAAGGGGACGGGATTCAGGAAAGTAGTACACCGGAGGAACGGGTCTTGGCTGGCGAGCAATCCCCGATTGAGGACGAACAAGGAATGAGCTCGACCCCATGCGCACAAGCCTCGCTCAGGGAGGTTGGTACACCGGAAGCATCAGAGCCAAGTCCCGCGGCAGACCATCCTGAGCGAAATGATGAAGGTACAATAGGACCGCAGGTCCCTCCGGACTTCCGATCCGAATTCTCAGTTGAGCCTGTCGCGGATAGATTGGATAGACGGAAATCGAAAAAGAAACGAGGGAAGCACAGAGATCGTGTCGAATTCTTGTCGAAGCATGACGGGGATGCTGCATCTGTGGCAGAGAGTATCTCACCTGGATCCCCTGCTGAACCAGGGAGCGCGCGGTTCCAAGAGTCTCCAGATGACGATAAATCGATTCCCGAAGATCTACCGAACCGACGCCGACGTAATGGGGGAGACCTCTCGATAGATTCGAAAAATCTGGACAGTGAAAGGGAATTGCAGAAGGGAAAAACATCGACAGCTTCTCACGAATGTCGCGTCGAAGAGCATCCTGAGGGGCCACCGCCGGAAAAGAGTGGAGTCTCTGAGCCGGAATCGCCCCCATACGACGTGAGCTCCTCAGAATCGCAAACCGTAGGTCCCGCGCAGATAGGCGCTCAAGATGCCGAGGAACTTCGCCTCGCTGAATTTCCTGACTCTCCACGGTACCAGGAAGCGACTCCGGCTCTGAGACGCGGACAGCATCCGGAAAAGGAAGATCAGGGTCTAATATCAGAAAGCGGAGCTCAAGACTCCCCAACGTCCCTGCTCGACACTGGAGCTCCGCTGGAAGCTTCCCAAGGCTCAATCTTGGAGGTCATCCCCGTCCAAGAGGGAGGAGCCGATATCGGCGAGTTCTCTCGAGCTACAGACCAAAGGGAAACGATTCGTGGAGAGATCGCCGAAAAACTTCCTCTCGGGGAAGACCTTTCACAGTCGGAAACTCCGAGCGGCACTGAGCTCCAGTCGTTCGCGGAACCTAGCGACAAGAAACCAAGTTCCAGCCTCCGAAAATCGAAAGGGAAATCCAGCAAGAAGGGAAGAGATCGGAAAGAGCGTGGCGAGAGGGAGGATTCAGTTGGAGACGGGAATCGCTCTGGACCCCGAGACCGGGACGATGATGGGATTCAGTCTGCACAGATCCTAGACCAGCCCCAGAGATCGTCCGTCGAGGAGGATGTTCAGGGCTCGATGACGACATCAAATATTCATGACCAGCCTGATATTCCGAGAGTTTCAACCTCAATCGAGGCTGACTCGGAGGAGAATCGAGCGCTGGGCTCGAGAGGCCTGGCGCTCGGGGCCGGTCCGAACGAACAAGAGCCCGATTCTAAATCGGTGAAATCGAAGAGGAAATCAAAGAAGATGGGGGAAAAGAGCAGACGATCGGTCCCCCGACGATGCATCCGGATCCTGCGCTGTCGAAACATCTTATGCCACATCGGGAACCACTTGCGAGGACATCAGAGGGGACGATGCGTGTCTCGGGTCCGTCGTCGGAGAACCACAAGCAATTGAGCCGACGAAAGAACAGGACGTCTTCGAGATGACGATTCCCACTGAGAACTTTATGTCCGCTGAGGCTTTCGCTCAAAGTGTCATCGATCAGATCGACTCCGCCAGAGGTTTCACGGCGGAAAAGCCCGACGCTGAGGTCTCGGGTTCCCCGACGAGAGTGGACCGGGATCGACCTGCGCTTGAGATTGGCACGGAATCCTGTGGCGAGCAGAGTGTTGATGTTTATGCGGGGGATTCCGAACGCTCTATGCAACTCCCTGGGGACGAGGCCGAGAGATCTCTGCGGGAGCCAATCATTGCAGGACCGCTTAAAGATGACTCCGATGTGTTCGATCTGATGAAAGCTTCAGAAGCTCGAATTCAACCCGAGCTCCCGACTCACTTGATAGGAGCACCGGCGGAGGTCGTAAACGACGTCCCGCCAACAGTTCACGGCGCGGAAACCACAGAAATATCCCATCCCTTCCCGTGCGAACTCGATGTCATCGAACCTCCCGGAACCGAGGCGCCTGATCAACGATTTGTTCAGCTTCCGCATTCGGAGACACGGAAGAACATTGTTGCGGTGCAAGAGAGTTCTGGCGTCGACGGCGAATCCGCTGGAAGCTCGACCAACGCTGTGGGCAAAAAGTCTTCTAAGCGGAAGAAGAAGACGCTGAAATCCGATCCGATAGAGCTTCCAACGCGTAGAGGAGGAGCAGGCTTCTCGGAGGAGATTCCAGTCCCGCAGTCAGAGGGGGAGACGGTACAACCGACAACCTACACCGAAGTCCTGATCGGCGAAGACGTTCCAGATACGGAGACCCGGAAGTCGGAAGATCCGTCCCCCCGTGACACGGACCAGGCTCCGCTCGGAATCGAGCTTGGCACCGAGAAGGAGGTTGACGTATTCGATATGATGTCTCCCTTGGAGCGTTATCAGCAGCCAGAACATCCGAAAATTTTTGAAGACGGCTCCCCTCAAAAATTGGAATCCCTCGCTCCCGAACTGTTCAGAGCAGAAGCGGGGCAGGAGGACATTCCGGAAGATGAGATGGACCGGAATCGGGAACGTCTTCCGAAGGTAAGCGACGTTTCGACGAGGGATGACGACCTGAGAAGCCTCGGGGAAGCATCCGGAACTCGTCGAGTCGCGGAAGAAATTGTTGGAACCACGGAAGAAGCGGATCCGCAGGCTGTGAATGAAGCTCAGCGATCGGAGATGGAGGACGAGGAGCAGTATCCCGCTGGAAGCACCAACATCGATGAAGATATTTTCGACCTGATGACGCCGCTAGAACACAACGAGCAACCAGAACACCCGCAGATACTGACGGAATTCGGAATCGAAGAAGTCTCTTCCGCCGAGGACGGTACAGAGCTGCAAGCCCTTAATGCCGACGCAGTTCCCAGGAAATCAAGCGATTGTGATCAGAATCAGATTGGGTCTGAGGTCGGGGAAGAATCGAACAGGGAGGGCAAACTTCCTGCCGAAGAACTCGGCCCACCAGAAGATTTCGTAAGCGGAGATACTCGGAGGCAAGCAGGGGTCATCGAGCACGGATCATCTTCCGGAGAGGGGCGCGATGGGACCGCCAGAACGTCCTGTCAAGGAGATCTTGTCCAAACGGTCGGAACTCCCGAGACGGACGTCTGTAACACGAATGCTCCCGATGGTCAAGAATTGCGAAGTACCATCGCAATTAAATCCAGGAAGAAATCCAAAAAGAAAAAGAGCATCGCCCAGACCGAAATTCCTGGCGTTCTCCAAGATCAAGATTCCGTCGATACCCGCGGAAGTGAGAAAGGTCCCATGAAAACCCTCCCAGATGTCGTCCCCGAGCCGGATAAGACGAGCCCTCCCCGAATTGTGAGCGAAGCTGGCGAAATCTGGGCCGCTGAAAATCTGGAGATGGGAGATGCAGGATGTCAAAGGAAGAAATCGAAGGCGAAGAAGAAGAAGGAACGGGACTCACCCCCGGAAATCGGATCAGGAACTCAGGAAGCAGGACATGAATCCGCCGCCGAAGGAACCATGTCCTCCCAGGGCCTGCTAACGGAACCGGGGCAGAATCAAGTAGAACAGGAATCGAAACATCGAGAGAGGGACGATCCCCAAGACGTTTCGCCCGATGCAACGCAGGAGGAGTTCGAGTCCGAGTCCACCCGAATCTTTGGGGGCAAATTATCGATGGAGATTGAAAACCTCACTGAGTCGATCATCGCGGCGGGCCCCTTCGGCATCTCCGACGACTCCACAATATCAGAGTCGTTACGGAAGGAAGCGGAGCCTGAAATCGAAATGCCCGAAGATGTTACGCAAATTAGACACGGTACGACTCAGGCGACCGGGGCCATCGAGTCCGGAGCTTCAGCTGTGGAGAGAAGTAGTGAGCAGGATACCGGCACCGGAGCATTCGCAAGAAGACCGAAGAAGAAGAAAAAGCAGAAGAAGTCCCGCTCAGATCCTCTCCCAGCAGAAAATTTCACGCCTGCGATAGCGTCTCCGGAGACCGGCGGTTTTTCAGAGATCCATCCCCCGGTAGATCTGTCCACAGTTTCGGTAGCGATGTCATCCGTTGCTGAAATTGATCCTTCTAACCCACGAGTTGACTCCGCGGGAAAAATCGTAGAGTTCGGCGCCTCCGTCACCGATCCGACTGCCGGGGGTTTCGAGAGCGCTCGCTCTGACGTGCCGCGAGATACAGAACTCCTTCTTGGAGTGTCATATGTCGCTGGTGTCGACGCTGAGGAGGGTCGGGATCCCGAGAAGGACCATGAGCAACTCGGAGGCATTTGCCTTGAAGAGACTGGAAGGGTGGATGAATTGAAAACGACTAAGCCGCGAAGGAAGTCGAAGAAAAAGAAGAAGATAGCGGATGACGAACAGGAGCTTGGTGCAGATCATCCGGGGATGTCTTCCTCCGAAATATCTGAAAAGGAAGTTTCCACAGGAGATGACTTTGTGGCGGCGGTTTCGGCTGAGGGGCCGCAACCGGAACTCGAGGGGCAGCAACCCTCTGCGGACGGTGTAGATGTATTCGATCTGATGTCGGCCCGCGAGTACCACGACCAGCTCGAGCACCCGGAGGTTACCAGTCAGGCTGTGATCGAAACACCCGTGTACCGCGAGGGCTCAGAGAATCGATCAAGGGTCGACGAACCTATGGAGGAGAGCCCCCACTTCGATTCCCTTCTGATCGATTCGACCACCGATACGGGTGGCACGGAATCTCTTCAGGAGATCATTCGACTAGACACCGGAGGACAGACCCTCGACGGAAGCGACTCCGAGTCGGGAACATCTCGTGAAAAAATTGCGATAGGCGACGATACATCGATTCCAACTGATATTAAAAACGACGATGAGATCGTCGAGGATTCAAAACTTGAAATTCAGCCTCCCGGAGAAATTATCGATTGGGAGCGAGCTCACGACATGACGAAAATCAAGACTAACTTGAAGGAGAAGAAGAAGAAGGCCCGCGTGAGCTCGCCCGACGCTGGCAGCGAAAAACTCGCCCAGGTCGAAAGCGGTGAGTCTCCCCCCGAACGTCATGGAAGGGATGCGGGAGGAAAGATTCCGCTCGGGAGCGATGTAGGTTCTGATTCACCCGATTCAAGGCAGCGGCGGGATGGCCCTGAGATCCAGTCGACGAGCTTATCGGAAGGACAAGCAGAGAGAACTGAGGTACCGGACTTGCAGAAAGCTCCTCATCAGGTCGCTCAAACGAGGGAAACTCGTGGAGCTCCTCTCCCGGAGCGCGGGGCCTCCCCCCAGAAAAAGGCAGACGAAGGGAAAAGCATCAACACGGAGCAGGAGCCGAAGAAGAAGAAGAACAAGAAGAAGAAAAAGTCCCTCGAATCTGGTGCCATTCTTGAAGGTTACGAATTCAGCGACACGACCGAGACGAAACTCTCGCAGCTGACACCCACCGGGACCTCAGAAGGGATCATCGAAGATGTCTCCGATATGATGTCGCCGATAGAGCGTCGTCATGAGCAGCCCGACCATCCTGCTTCGCCCATGACCTGCGAGAGAGATGACGAAACCGCAAGAGGCGCGGCTCGTGAAATTTCAAGCGAACACGAAATCAGTCAAGGAACACCGAAGAAAAAGAAGAAGTCCAAGAAGAAGAAGGAAAAGGAAAGCTCCCACGATCCCATCGAGTGCGGTAAAGCTCCCAATGAGGATTCTCCACAAGACTTCTCTCCAATCCGAGCGCAGCGAAATACCGACGAACGAATTCCGGTCGGAGGAGCAGCTGAGGGACAAACGACAAAAAAATCGAGGAAGAAACCCTCAGGAATTCGGGTTGAACCAAAAGATGAAGGAAATGCGGGAGAGCGTCTGACTGATGCAAGCCCCGAAGTTTCTGAGAAAGTCCCGCGCGAAGAAATTCCGGTCATCAGGGAGCTATCAGCCGATTCCGGTACGCCCGACGATTTAGACGAAGCAAGCTTCGTCGAAAGCGAGTTCCAACCCGCCAGGAAACCGAAGGCTCCGAAGAAACCTAAAACAGCCGTCGGGTCAAAGCCGATATCGGACCGACGCAAAGCCGCTCCGGAACGAAAAATTTCGGTGGAGGAACGTTTCGTTCAGGAAGTTACCAAGCAGCTCCTCCGCGAATCACAGACGGAATCTACAGCGAAGCTATCCGCTCGCTCGCTCGATCCCAATCCGTCAATCACCTACGCTGATGTGGTTTCGGGTCGCGCCAGCAGAGCTGTAACTCCCCGTGAGCAAAGTCCCGTGAAACAAGCGCGTGCATCGCCCTTCGGCGAAAATCTCAACGCTCGAAGCGATCTGTTGTGTCCGTCAGCGGAACTTTCGCACAGTCCTGCTTCTCTCGAGGAGTCTCTATCCAGCCATGCGAGGCCGATCGAACGTCGTTGTTCCGAAGTTGCGATGCAATACGTGACCGACAACACCGGAGTCTGGGCCAGCGAGCCTTACGGCTACTATCCCGCCGATGAACTGACCCAGTTCTATCAGGAAGACCCATGCGAGCCGGCCGAGCTCCCGATGACTTATTCCCCCATAGCGGAGCTTCCGCCCCCGATTTTCGGTCTTTCGAACACCACGTTCACCAGTCCGCTTTCGCCCCTGGACGATACGCAGACTCCTCTGATAAGCGCGGGTGTTGTCGAGCAGGTCATGCTCAGCGAGCCGCAGGTGTACGAGACGTTGGAGCTTCCAAGTTACGCGGATGTTTGCGCCGGCAGAGCCTCCGTCAGTCCCAGACCGTCGAGGGGAGCCACGCCGCTGCGCGAACCGACGTTCGCGCCTCAGACTTGTCGCCACCCCAGTTCGTCGAGCATGTCACAGGTTCTAGATCATAGACAACAATCTAGGAAATCATTAGATACCACGCCGGAGCCGGAACAAAGGTCCAGCGATCATCCGGCATTTGCGGATGAAGCCGCGCTCGAATTCCAACAGAGCACACTCATACCCACGTTCACGTCAAACCACGGACACACGACAGATAACAAGAACACCTCGTCTCTTTGGGAATGTTTCGGGGTTTCCGCTCAGACACTGACGTCGAGCGGGGTGACTGTGGCCCTACACAGGGACTCTCTCGACGATTTTTCAGCCTCGCCGTCCACAGAGCCCTCCAGAAAGTCTTCGGACAAGGACACGGAGTCCCAGAATGTGGATACGGGCGCTGGTGGTGCGGCGGCGGCGATCAAGAAAAGCAAGAGGAAGAAGAAGCTCAAAGGCTTACCAGACATCGTAGTCTCGGAAGAAGAGCTGAGTTCCGCGTTCGAAGATTCACCCGAGCAGCAGGACACCAAGAAGAAACGGAGACAGCGGAAGAGCCGATCGCACACCCGCGAAGTTCAGGAGGCGATGATTTTTGAAAATACAGCCGCGACCGATAGAGGGGGCCCATCTATTCCTTCGGACCTGCAGGGAGATGATCCGCTTCCGTCCAGGAGCGGAGAAATCTTGGGTATGACCCATGAAGTGGACTTAACGGGTTTCGCATTCGTTGAACCCCTTGACCACCAGGCGGACACGGCTCAGCAGGGTCCGGACGAGTGTGAGAGTCGTCGGGATGCGGCTGAGCGAGAATTAGACACGACTGCTGCTGTTCGTGATGCGATCGACTCGATTCCCGTGAGTTCTCCTCTCGGTCTCGCTGCGTCAAGCGCACTCGAGCCTGAGCCCAAAATTGACACTCAGCGAGCGGCAGTCCACGATGACGGTGCCCAGAGAGACCAAGCCGATCCAAGCGGAATTCCTCGGAGCGGGAGGAAATCGAAGAAGAAGAAGAAAACTTCCCCCGAGAAAACCAGGGCATCCCCGGACCCTTCGCTGGTCGAAGTTCCGGACGAGGCCCCCGAAGTCAGGCAGACCGAATCGGGCGGCGCGATGGTAGAATTCACCGAGCTCGAGCCGCGGAGATCTGCAGAAGCGCCGACGTCGACATCCGATCCACAGGAGGGAGAAAGCGTCGCTGGAGAGATTGCGCCGCGTCAGATTCCCGAGCGGAGCTACCGGGAGCGGGCTCCTCTGCCGGAGGGACAGCAGGTCTGCTCTCAGGTGACCCCGCTGAGCGATGGAACGTACGAGGCCGTCTACGGAGGCTTTGAGGGAGCTATCTGTTATGGGAGGAGCGAGTTCCATGAAAGCCAAGACGACACAGTCCCACAAGCAGATCCTGCTGATGCCTCAGGAGTCTCAGACTCGATCCCACGGTCACGATGTCCCACGGAGCCGGAGGAACCGAGACTTCATCCGGAGCCCGAGCTACCGGACACCGGAGCGGCAGCACAAGCGTTCGAAAATTCTCGCACGTCGGAGACGCTGGAGCCGTTGAACTCGATTCCCGGTGATGTTCTAGCGAAAAAGAAGTCAAAGAAGAAGGGAAAGCGTAAAATCCAGGAGGAGCAATCGGAAGCAACCGTTCTGTTGGAGGAAACGAAACCTGAAGTGAAGATTGCGGAAGCGTACCCGGGAGAAGTAGAAGCACCGGAGTATTCGACAGAAAGGACGGAAATCGTGGAAGGCGATGGACAGAGGGAGATTTCTGTGGACAACTTTGACGCCTTCGATTTCATGGGGCCCTTGGAACATCACGAACAACCCGAGCGTCTAGTTGTTCCCATGGAATCCGCGTCAGAGAAGTCGATCGGAGAAGCTTTCGGAGAGTCGACGGAAGGATTCGCTGAAGAGCTCCAACCCGTGATCGGAACTCCACAGGGCCGCATCGACGATCACAGAGATCCGTCGGCGAGGGCCAAATCGAAAAAGAAGAAGAAGCAACAGAAAAAGTCACCCGATTCTGTTGCCCGGGGAGAGACGAGTCTTTCCGAGGCTCGTTCAGCAGAAAATGATCTGTCAGAAGTTGGCCTTCTTACCCTGACTTCTGTCGATAAGGTAGCTCAGGATGCGCGAGGGAAAGCGGTTGCCGATCAAATCCGGCGGTCTGCACCGGCAGCCGAAGACTCGTATCACTCAGGGGAGACAGCGGGTGGCAGACCTCGGAGGCCAACACCCGAGAGCTGGGAGTTCGATGACGAGCTCCTGGAGCCGCGCTCACAAGACCTGCCATGCGAATTCGTTACTGAGCCCATCGTCGGAGCCGCTGCCCCGGAGGCGTCTAGTCTTCAACCCGATTCCGCCGTCATCGGAACTGCTGGGAAAGGACTTGGAGATCCCGACTCAACTCTCGATCGCGACGTTTCGCTCGACGATCCGGAAGCATCTGCGATGGAGGCGGAAACAGAGCTCCTGCCGAGATCAGTTGCCGACGTCTCGCAAAACTTCGGAGAAGCGGAAGAATTCGACGCTCCCAACATCATGACCCCCCTGGAGCTTCCCTTGCAACCCGAGCATCCGGTTGTCTCGATCGGTCCGGGGACTGAACCTGAACATGCGGCCGAACCTCAGGAGGCGGAGCGCAGAGCTGAACGTCCGAGCGCGGTAGGTCCTGAGACCATTCCGACGGACAATTCGGGCGATCAGGTGTTCGATGAAGGATCTTCGAAAGCCAAGAGAAGTAAGAAGAAGTCTAAGAGGGAGAGACATCTTCGAAGTGACGTGTCTGGAACAGAAAACTCGCTGCCATCATCAGACAAGATCGAAGAGGAATCTTTGGAGGCCCCGCACGTCTCGGGACCTCCCGAAATCCGCGATTTACAGACCGAATCGTCGGATACTCGAACTCTCGCCGAAACTCCGGCAGCGGCGTCCGGCGACGACACCCAAATAGAGTCTGTAGGAGGCGGGTGCATTGGAAGCCCGGACGCCGTGTTCGAGGTCTCGGAGAGTCCTGGAGTGGGATCGCCAGCGGAAGGTCCTCAATGCGAGGTCGAGGAAGATCAGGCTCGGGAATCACCTAAGAAAAAGAAGAGGAATTCGAGGAAGAAAATTCGGAGCGGACTGGATATTTCTCCGCAAGCGCCAGCCAGCCGAAAGAGTGGACCACTCGGAGAGGCGCAAATCGCGCTCGAGAGATCCCCCGACACGGACCCGGAGCCAATCCCACTCTCGACTGGGGAGGATTCCGAACATCCAGGGATTGAGATCGGGACGGGAGTCGAGGAGGAAATCGTGATATCGGCGGATTCCCGACCGGCGCCAGAATGTCGAATCGAGGGAGCCATCGCTCTCGAATCGAACGACCTCTTAAGCGACCGAGATCAGAGTCAAGGGTCTCTGAAGTCAGGGAAAAAGAAGAGGAAATCGAGGAAGAGAAATAAGGAAGCTCGGGACGACCGGTCTGGATCAGTTCACTTCGGGGAAGAGAGCAAGTCTCCTCCGGTGATTGATCGAGAGGATTCGTTTGAGGTGGAACCACTTCCCGGCACGATTGGCATCTGCGTGCCAACTTCAACTCCGGGCTACCAAGAATCCGAAAGATGCCACGACATCCCAAGCGATGCGGCCCTCCGAGCTACTGGAGAGGTTGTGTCACTTGAGGAAGTTGGGGAGGATGTCGACGTTTTCGATATGATGACTCCTCTCGAGCACCACGAACAGCCCGATCGCGTGGATGTTGAAATGGACGTTGAGCTCAGAGACGAGGAAGAAATTGCCTCGTCCCTCGGAACGGCGACCCGAACGATTGGAGACTCAGATACCACGGGAAAAATCCCGGACGAAGTTGACATCTTCGATTTGATGAGTCCCATCGAACACCATGAGCAGCCCGAGCGTCCTGATGTCCGAATCGGTGTCGCAGTCGGGGAGCTTGGTGAAGCTGATGACGGAGTCAAGGAATCATCCGTTCTGGAGAGTCAGCAGGCTGAAGTAATGGGAGAGAGTCAAGCCGATTCAGTCAAAGTCGAAACTGAAATCCACGAGAGATCAGCCCTGTCCGAAGAAGAAGGCTGCTTCGGACCAACTCGCACAGACCGAGTTATCGATGACGACGTTGACGTCTTCGATCTCATGTCACCCTTGGAATATCACGAACAGCCAGAACATCCGGAGGTTCGAATCGAGGCCGAGGGTGCAGAACAGAACGAGGGCGTCGAACGGGAAGGAAGAGACCTTGAGGAGAATGTCGCTGGCCAAGCCCCCATCGAGGACATCTTCAACCTGATGTCCCCATTGCAGCATCACGAACAACCAGAACATCCGAAGGTTCGAATTGAGGCCGCGGGTGCAGAACAGAACGAGGTCGTCGTACGGGAAGGAAGAGACCTCCAGGAGAATGTCGCTGGCCAAGCCCCCATCGAGGACATCTTCGACCTGATGTCCCCATTGAAGCATAACGAACAGCCAGAACATCCGAAGGTTCGAATTGAGGCCGAGGAAGCAGAACAGGACGAGGTCGTCGAACGGGAAGGAAGAGACCTCCAGGAGAATGTCGCTGGCCAAGCCCCCATCGAGGACATCTTCGACCTGATGTCCCCATTGCAGCATCACGAACAACCAGAACATCCCACTGTCTCGATCGATACCACTCAGGTAAACCCAAGAGAAGTCTTCGTCTCACAAGATCGAGACCTCGGGAGGGTTGAGGACAGTCGAGTTGTCCACGACGATCAGGACCTTTCCCAATGGGCACCCGCCCTGGGAGAAGTGGAAGACGAGGTCTCCTCGCTTGCGATCGATCGTGATCGGAGCCTTGTCACGGGAGAAATCCAAACTCCCGGAGAATCCGCCGACGGATCTCCCGGACCCGATATCGAGCCGCTCGAAACTCCACTAGGAGGGGATATCAGGCCGGAGTCAACAGATGAAAGGAAGAGGGAGAAGGGCTCCAAGAAGAAAGGGAAGAAGGGAGGTCGGGGGAAAGATAGAGTGGATTCATCCGGAGGCATGGAAAGGATCGGAAGCGCCGACGAGATGAACGCGGTGCCTCTTGAGACCGAGCAGCTCCCCAAGCGCGTTGACTCTCCTGACCCCGGAGCTTCTCGTGAACAAATCGAGGACCTCAGTCGATCAGGCGGTGAATGCGAAGAAACCGTCCCGCCGGGCGAACCGGAAGTCACTGCATTCGTTCTCGAAGATATACCACCTACGAATCCCGAATCCGTCAACGTCTCGGACGACCAGTATCAAGTCGGCGCGAAGCCCACGAAGGCGAGAAAAGATAAGAAATCCAAAAGGAGGCGGGAAGCCCAAGCGGCTCACGGCGGGGTTGAAGAAGGGGAAGATTTCACCGCATCAGCTGAGAAGCTCATCGATCCGAGCGGAATTCGCGCCTCGAGTGAGAGCGCCGACGAACCGATGGCCCCTATGGACCGAGTGGGACAGCCCGATTCCCGACAGCTCGTTCCTAGCGAAGCTACGATCGCTCGCACCGTCGACGGAGTGATCACCGTTGATTCCCGAGCGGATTCTGGAAACACGTCCGAACTCGCTGGAGATCTGGACCTGACTAACGTTGAGATCGGACTCCGAGGCGATCGGGAATCGGAGCCAGCTCCTGCGGAGTTCAAGAAGACGAAGGACAAGAAGTCTAAGCGGAAACGAGGAGAGAAAGTTCAGCAGCCCGATACCCCGATGGAGTTCGGGCACCACGAACAACTGCCCAGATCGGGGAGCTCTCAACCGAGTGCAAAACCGAATTCAGATGAAGTTGACATCTTTGACTTTATGACGCCATTGCAACATCGTGAACAACCCGAACATCCTCACCTCCAGATCGCTCACAGCGTCGAGGTAGCAGAAGAGCTCCCGGAAGTTGTGCATCCGGAACCTCCTCCCGGCATCGAGTATTCCGCTGCGCACGCGACTGGTACCGGCGTCGAATTAGCGGGAGTTCGCGGTGAAGAAGGAGTGGATGACGATTCCGCCGAGCTCAGAGGGAAGGCAGAGTCCCCGAAGGAGTTCGAGGCGGGTCGTATTGACGCCGCGGAGATCCAGACAGCGCAGGACCTCGCCGCGTCATGCCGGAAGCTCGAAGAACTTGCGGACGACGGAGACAGTTCGAAGGACATGGATGGCCAACTTTCCGTTCAAGACATCGACGTTTTCGATTTCATGTCACCTTTGGTTCATCCTGAGCAACCCTCGCACCCGGACATCTCGTCTGCCGCAACGGACGGGGCGACCAGCAGTCCTGAAAAGGGACGAGACGATGCGCGCTCGGTTGCGGCGGAGATGGCTACCGACATCCCGCGAGGGGATCTCACGGATTCAACAGCACAGCGAAAGGAGCCGGTGGACCTTGACGAAAAGATCGAGATTCCCGGGAAGAAGAAGAAAAAGAAGAAGAAACAATCCGGAGCCGCTATGAATATGAGCGTTGGCACTGAAGTTGAGAAATTCGAAGCCATGTCTGGGGCATCAGAGGCAGGCCCTGAGGGATCGTCTCTCGGACTGGGAGTCTCCGACCCGTACGACGGCTCTGTTTGGATTCACGAAGATCGGGAGCTGGGTTCTGAATCAACGAAGTCGAAGAAGGAAAGCAAGATATCAAAAAAGAAGAAACACGATTCCATCGAACCATCTGACTTTGCTCCCCGGACCTCTCCCGGGGAAGAAGTTCCTGCAGGACACGATCCACAAGCAGTCGAATTCTACGATTCGGAATCGAGAGAGTCTGAACATCTGGATTGCTCCGTGTCTACAGATGTAGCACCTTTGTCACAGAAGACGGCAGATGACGAAGAAGCTGAAACCCCGACAGTCGTCGACGAAGTCGATGTCTTCGACCTTAAGACTCCTCTAGAACATCATGAGCAACCAGAACAACCTGGAGTGACGATTGACACGCCAAGCGCAAACGCAGGAGCGGCAGCTCTGAGAACGGACTCTTCGGAGCGTCCATTGGATGCGAGAGTATGTGATGGCGATTCTACGAAGAAATCGAAACGAAAGAAGCGGAGAAACAGGAATTCTGCATCTCCGAACGATATCGGAACAAAGAGGGAGGGGCCTGAGCTCTCTCACCACGAACACGGAGACCGCGAGTCATCTCCCGGAGCGTGTCGAGACGCTTTGATACCTATTGATGCGGGAAGCTCCCAGATCGAGACACCTGGAGAAGTTCATCCATTGGAAATCGAAGTGCCTCCAGCAGCGGAACCAGTGCCTCCGGTCGATGAGAATTTCATCTGCTCGGTTTCTGGTTCCCCGGAATCTGGTATCGATTCCGTTCCTGTGACTAGCGAGCAAACAGAGCCTTCGATAGTCGGGAGAAGTCTCGAGAGGTCCGAGGAAACTGTCCAACGACGGAATGTGGAGAATCGAATTCCGTGTCTCGAGAAGCCGAAGAAACGCTCAAAGAAGACGAAGCAGAAGAGATTGGGAGAGGATTCAGTCTACGAAGCTGAGGGTCATCAGAAGAAGTCCTCCGACTCGCTCGTACCGGAGCTCGGAATGTCGACTCAGGGCAACAATGCTTCGCAGAGCGAGGTCTTAATGCCGGGAGAAGAAGAGCACGACACTGACGTCCGAGATTCCATCGCCACAACGCAATCAGAGGCGCTCAGCACCGACGGACGTCCGGAAGGCTCGGTCGCGGAGATCGTAGAGCTCACGGAGACACTACCCGTTGAGCTTGAGCTACGACGCCCGACCGAGTCAAAAGAGATACCACCGGAGCTCATCGCGGACACCGGAGCTGATAACCATGTGAGCGGAGACGAGGCAGGGCAAATCCAAGAAACCCGATCAGACGCGGCCCAGGACCCCGAACAGAGCATCAATTCGAAGAAATCCAAGAAAAAGAACAAAAAGAAAAATCGGAGTTCAGCTGAGAATCGGGAGGGAGATGCGAATGTCTTCCCGCAAGATTTCACCGCGGAGACCGCGTCGTTCCAACCTTCACACGTCGAAGGCGAAGCTCTTGGAAGCTTAACGGTCGAGGCGACCGCAGACGATTACGGCGATCCCGGGACGGAGTCAGAACGTCTGCTCCGAAGCGAAGCTGATCCAAATCGCCCGCGGGCTGGGCATGAACTCGATCCGGTAATTTCCCACGCTGTCCCCAGGGAGACAACGCCGTATGACAACGACCGTATGGAGAACTTGGCGATAGAGAGGGCCATCGTAGACGAGAAGGAAACCGTTCTCGGGACCGCGCCCGAGCGGAATCTGGCCGAGCTAGAGCTCTCAGGGAAGGACACGCCACATGCGGAGGGTAACCAGTCACTCAATAAGGAAATGTCCCTCCGGAGCCGATCTTCGAAAAGACATAAACACAGAAAACGCACCGACACCAACACCAGACCCCAAACAGCAGCTGAGACAATGGACACGAGACAAAAGTTCCGAATCGAGAGAGTAGAAGAACCCTTCCCCGGTACCACCTGGACTTCTGAAACGGTTGAAACCGAGGAGGATATGTCGCTGGCCGACATCGAGAACATCCCTCACGACGACGATCTGTCGGAGCTTTCGGATTTCCCGAAAACCGGGGTCTCGATGCCCACTGAGGAGCTTCTGCTCGAGTATACGAACTTCGGGACCGCTGAAAATCAGAACATTCCCCAAGTTGAAATTTCCTCGTTCTCGGAGCATCGGGACTCGTTGGTCCGCGGTAGAACTTCGGACCACGACTTCTTCCTGCCGTCCGCTGCCGAGGCCACTCGTGGCCTGACACCGGAGCCCGGTCTCGACGACGTCCAGAAAGCCGCAAAAACCATACAGAAGGCTTATAGACACTATCGGACGAGGAAGAGTCAGTCGCCCTTACCGACGCCAAGGGAGCCGGTCGAGGGCCCTGGATACTTCTCGGATTCGGCCCTGCAGGACAAGGCGGCTAGAAGGATCCAGAAGGCGTACAAGAAGTTCAAAACGAGGAAGGAACTGGACGCCGAGAAGAAGCGGAGGTCCGACGAAGAAGATGTTGCCGCCAGAAGAATTCAAAAGGCTTTTAGGAAATATCACAAGACGAAAGATGTTGAAGAATCTCCGCATCGAGCACTACCAGGAGCTTCTCCTGTACCGAATGTTGCGGAACAGGATGAATTCGCGGCGAGGACCATCCAGAAGGCCTACAAAAAATACCGACTTAGGAAAAATAAGAAGGTCGAACGCGAGCAGGAAGTCGCGTCATCGCCACCGGTAGACTCGAGCGAGGAATTGGCCGCGAGGAGAATTCAAAGTGCCTACCGGAAATACAACCGTCGGAAACCAAAACCCAGGGAGCCTGTTCCCGCGCCTGAACTCACTGAAGCGTTCGACGCCGAGAGCGCGAGAGAAGACGCTGCTGCGCGAAGAATCCAGCGCTCCTTCCGCAAATTCACGGCCACGAAACAACTCGGGGCCGAGAGTAGCTACGGGGCCGCGACCTCTCGCGCAGAAAGTCCTGACAGCGGCAGGAACCAAGGGCTTCTGCCGAACGAATCAGACTTGGGTACTCTGTCGACCGACCCGAACACGTCCGACGTCAAACCGACGAATCCGTTCGGTTCTGGAACAGCTGATGCCGCGGAAGTCTCTCGTGGAGATGCAGTGGAAAAAATGATTGCAAGGATGATGGCCGAGAAATTCGCTCTCGAGGAGCTCGGCGACGGGGATTCGCCCGATTTCCCTCGGGAGGACGTCCCCCTGCCGGTTCCCGAACGAACTCAGAAGCCCAGCCCCGATATGCAGGCACCGAAGTTGAGCCGGAAAAAGTCCAAAAAAACCAAAGCGAAATCCAATAAAAAATACGCCGGTCAACTCAGCCAGCTGGAGGAAGCTGCGGCGTCCAAAACCGAGGGGAGGAATTCTCCCGAGGGGTCGGAGGTTCCGCCGAAAGTCGAACCCGAGGCTGAGCGTGATTTCTCAGGAGACCATCCAATCGGGGATGAAGATGAGAAAGCCGCCAGAACGATCCAGAAAGCTTTCAGACTTTATCAAGGGAGAAAGGCCAGGCCCGGGGTCTGCATGCAGCCTCTCTCCGTAGAGATCCCGACGATGACTGCCGATTATCCCTTACCCGAACCCCTCGCCCTATCGGAGCCAACACTCCCATGGGAGGAGAGATTCGCGACGCCAGCCCACACCCCCGAGGAAGATCGGACCGAACCAATCCTGCCTCCGACTGGAGCCCAGCCCCCGATGTCGGGCTCCCCGTCCGTTTCGGATGCGTGGGCGGAGTTTTTCGGACAGAGATCTTCTCTTCCGGACTGTGCCGACACGTCGCAGGGAGGCGGATCGCAGCGGGACCGAGAGGTTTCCGATGGTAGCGTTACGTCCTTCGTCGGGGCACCGCAAGATTTCCTCATGACGGATCCGGAAGTCGGGGATGCGTGGAAAGACTTTATGAAGGAGGGAATTGCGGGCGGCTCGTGCGAGGAGATCGCCGCGACAACAGTGCGGCAGGAAACGGCCTCAGAGGATTCCGTGGGGACAATGGGCAAGACCGGAAGCGCGGGACTCGCCGGGGAGAAAACCCGAGGGGAATCAGCCCCCGAGGCTGTCGCGACCAACGTCGACGCAAAGTCTTCAGCTGAGGACGATGCAGCCCTCGATGACTCGATTGGGAGTGGAACGCGCATTCAGGTTCCAGCAGAGCAGCGCAATCGCCCGCTCCCCGCGAATATCGATATCAGACGAGGCATTCCCCCGGAGTGCTGGGACGATATCCTCACGGCGTTGGAGTCGCCGTCGCCAAAAGTTTTGCGGGATCTACCTCTCGATCAGATCTCTGTAGTTCCGCCGACTCCGCGTAACTCTTTCACGACGGATGACTTAGAGAACTCGCCAAAGAATATCTGGGGCCCCATAGAGGGAGAAGAATGGCCCGGCGCACAGCCCACGGCTCATGACAGCTCGCCGTCGGTGGCGACGGACGAGTGGCAAGAAGAGACTGGAAAGGAGGCGGTGGAAAAGCTCGAGGGTAAACCCGACGTTCCCTATTTGGAGAGCGAACCGTCGACGGCGAGTCAGCCCGTTTGTGTTGAAGCTGCTGCTGCGACCAGTGGAAGATTTGGAGACGATGTGAACGCGATGTCTTCTGGAGGAAACGGAGAGAAAAAGTCCAAACGGAAGAAGAAGTCCAAGAACTCCCGCGACCGACACACCTCGGTCAACGAGCCCGACAAGCCACCGCAGGACGTGCCCATTGAAGTTTGGAAAGACTTTTTAGACGCCTCGACTTCTCCTGAAAGAATTCTGGAAACGATTGTGCCGCAGGAATGTTTCGAAATCGTGCAGAAGTCCCTCCAGGGGACCGAAGCTTTGGAGTCGTCCGCGTTAGCGGAGGCCCGTCCCCGAGAGTCAACAGATCGGGGAACGCAAAGCTCGGCCCCAGAGACCGACTCCCACACTGAAGCCGTGAACACAGACGCACTCGATAGTACACACGAGACACTACAGAACACTTCGGACGACACCAATACGACACCAACCACCGCACAGAGCTCCGGTCCCCGTGTCTCATCAGATGGAGACCCACGAAAAATTGAGAATTGTCCAGATGATGACGGTGTAGTGATATGTGAGGAGCCGAATGATCTGTTAGGTACGATAAGTAATTCGGAAATTGTCAGAGATAGAGAAGAGACGGTGGAAGATAAGTCAGGCAGCCGTAATTGGTGGGAAATGATGCCCGACGATCTCGAAGAAGCTCGGCCCTCGGACGTCGACGAAGGAATATTCACCGTCGACGATCCCTTCACAACCGTCGCCGTATTGGATAAACCACGCAGAGCCAAAACCGTTGAACAGCCCCAGCTCGAAACGGTAGCGGAAGCATCCGTCGAAACTTCGAAGGAAACAACCCCAGACCACTGCACCGCCTCCATCGTGCCGGCAGAAGATTCTAGCAATGCTGTCGAAATTCAAACAGACGCTGAATCGACAATCGCTGATTACGATGAGATTTCCCAGGTGAGTGAGGATACCTTAGTCCTCCAAGGAGACGGAGCGGCCCTCAGGACAGCTGAGGAACCCGGCGATCCTGAAGATGACAATAAAGAGAAGAAGAAGAAGAAAGAGAAAAAGAAGAAGAACAGGAAAGGGAAGTCTTCGAAGAAGGACGCCGAGGATTCCCCGCGGAGGATCAGAGACCGACCTGAGAAGACTTCCGACCAGGGGCGAGATCTAGAGGTGGAACCGATCCCGGAAGAGCCCGAAGCGTTCGTCGAGGTTTCGAATGACGAATCGCTCCCGGCTCAGCCCGTGAAGTCGGTCCAAGACGAGACTCCGATGAAGGAACAGGCGGTGAGCGTCACGCCGCCGGATATTGGGGTTTCAGGAGAAGCCCCCCAACTTCAGGCGGACGTCATCGACGCGAGTCGAGCGCCTGACGTTGCGGGAGCGAAAGTCGAAAAGGCGAAGAACACGCCGTCCGACCGCAAGAAACGGACGACAGCCGGTGTGGCGAAGGCAGACACCGCTGACACCGAAAGTACGTCGTACGATCTCGAAGCAATTCCGAAAGACGAGGAAGGAATTGCTTCGATCGAAGCCAGAGTCGTCGCCCCCGAACTCTTCGTAGAGTCGCCAACCAGCCATGAGTCTGGAGGGAGACCGTTCCGCAAAGCGAAACGTCGGTTGAAGAAACTCGTTGACGAGACGCCGCCACCAGCCTCGGTGAGCAGTGGCGTTTCCCCTGAGTCCGATTCCTCGAAAGCGAACACGAGTCAGGACGCGACGTGGGACGAGTTCAGCGACGCAAATAAAGACTCGCTCGGCTCGCTCGCAAGTGAGTATCTATATTTTTTCTTCTTCTTTCTTTTGATTCCTCGCTCGATAATTGGACATTCGTGATGCTCCGTGATGGACGCACTCGCCCCTGCCACGGATGGAGATTCGGACCTCCGTACAACTCCCGTTCAATTTTTTTCCTCACGCGACGGACACGACAATCCTGACCGATTTCTTAGTCCGATCAAAACGAAATCGAAATTTATTAGGGACATTCATTTGCGCCTTCTCTCGATCATCGAGTCAGAACGATTTTCCGATTTCCCACCAGGCGATGCCAAAGAGGAAGTTCCGGAGCACAGCGTCAGTCCGTCGGCCGCTTCTGCCGAGCTCGTCGAAATCGAGGCGTCGGAAACAACAATCACGGAAGACAAGCCAATCACCCCGACCGAGAAGTCCGACAAAGACCTCCAGGATGTCCTCCAAGTGGCGCAGCAGTTCCTGGGTCTCGATGTTTCCCTGCTGCGATCCTCGTCGTCGTTGCAGATGTATCGGCAGCGCTTGCTTGACCTCGTCCAAATCATCAAACGTATCGGCGAAGCTCTGCCGGGTCACGACGCCATTCTCGCAGAAACCATCATGGCCCTGGAGGATCGGCGCGCACAGGTTGACTCCATCCGCGTCGACGAGGAAAGCGCCACGGTCTCGCTGGCCTTGCAGGTGATTCGATACATCACGGGCGATCCTCCTGGGGTCGTCGATCTCCCCGTCGCTGGGGCGCTTCTGTTCCAATCGACCCCGAGACCCACGGCGACTGAGCCGACCGAGGGCTTGTGCAGCTTTGCGGAATCTCTAACACAGCGTACACCGGCGGACAACATGTCGAGGATCGAATACCTCCACTGTCTGCGTCTCCTCATGGAAAAAGTAATTTTCATGCAACGGGGCACCGACAGCGGTCTCATTGAGCCTGAGGCCCTGACGGATGAGCAGGCGAAATTGCAGAATCTCCACGAGCTCCTGCAGCGTCAGGGGGATCTCATGTTCCCCGAAGATTCTCAAGTTCAATCGATGTTGCGCGACGTCAAATCGGCGCTTTTCCTTCTCACTGTCGCCTCAAGTAGAGAGCTCCCGGTCTCTTCGAGAACAAAGAGACCGAAGTTCACCAGGGTGAGAACGCAGACCTCTCCAATATTTTTCTCGAATCGACTGATTTTCCGTGCGGAACATCCAGTCCGATGGGATCCGCTGCTCAAAGTGGTAAATCGGCAAATTATTGAATCATTTCCGTTTTTTCAGCAAACCTCGAAGAATGCCACCGAATTCGGGAGGAACCTCGCACAACATGCGAGTCAGCTGAGAATCGAAATCGAAAATACGTTCATAGAGAGCGCGCCGCTCCAGCTCGCTAGCTTAGTCGACCTCAAGGAGGCAATCGACTACTTGAGTTCACTCCGGCGAGAGCTCAAGTCGACGCTGTGCAAGATGCAGCAAGCTTCAGCGAAAAGCGAGCTCGACTTGAGTTCGTCTTTATCGAATGGCATCGTGTCGATCCAGCTCGCCGATGACAAGATCTCTCGTTTGAAAAACGCTCTGCAGACGTGGCGACAAGTCTCAGAGGATTGTCTCAAACCGCTTCCATTCAGCGTGAACGCTATCGACGAGCACACATTGCTACAGACCATCCAGAATCTTCCAACGGAATGCGTTCTCGTAGACGAAGTTTTGCAGTGTCTGAATGAACGACTACACTCGCTCCGAGAGAGGCGCATGGAGACACGTCTAAAAACTCGGAGCTCTCTCCAGAAGCAGCTGGAAGAAAACTTCAGAGCGTCTCGGCTCGCCATATTGAGGCAGGCTGAGGAGCTGCAAAACCAGTTCGTGGTGAACAAGTCGGTCAGAGAGTTGCTGGAAGCAGATGCCCTTCTGAGTTCCCTGGAAACCAGTGGATTTCCGGAAAACCAGGAATTCGAAAGCAGCCTTCTCAGAAAACAGAACGGTGAGTTTACATCCGGAGATTTTCCTGGGGGTTATCTCGGGATCGAAGCAAAGTACGTTTCTCAAAACATATATGATTGCTTGGCTTATCACCGTATCAAATCAAGGGACATCCATCGTTCTCCCCTCAGAGCTGCTCAAGACACTACTGGAAACTTCCGACCGAGAGGCTCTCACTGATATCGTTCGTCTCGCTCCGCCATCTGGTCTGAAGAATCTGCGACACCATCTACTGGCGCGGCTCCGTTCTCCGAAAAGTCCGTCACCGGAAATGGCTTTCGGCATGCAAGCCGTCGAGGATTGGAAGTGAGTTCACCATTCGACTCTTGGGTCTCAGTCCCGAATCCGTGAGACTTCTCGGGATTCCGAATGCTTCTGTGAAGTTTTTTGGGGAGTCGGCACTGACATGGGTTGGAAAAATATCGATTTCGATTGAGTTGGTCCCAACAATGAGCCGCCCGGAACGCACCAAGCACTTAATGCTCGATTTTTGAATCCTCAGCGAATATTTCGATCACTTTGGAGCCGATTCCGAGAGCAAGTCATCGGCGCGACTGCTCGATGCTTTGAACGAGGTCATCTCCAAGACGGAATCCCCATCGAAACCGTGTCCGATCGAGCTCGAGAGAGACATCCAGATCCTGATCATGGAGGCGCGATCCGATTTGCATCAAGCGGACCCGGAATCTTTCAACCTAGACCACCTACGGAGCGTTCGCTCGCTGCTCCTGACAATCTTGAGACGCACGGATTTGCGCCTAGCTGTCATCACGCACCGCGAGCTGCTCGACTTCAGAGCGACTCTCCAGCAGACTCTCGAGAAAATCGAAGAGCGCATCCACCAGATTTCTGTGGAGAAAAGTGCTCTGAAGGAAGTGGACGACTTCCTGGTGCAGATGCAGGTCGCGATCACGGACGCAGAGATGGTCGACACGGGGGTCGAGGCGCTGCAGCAGATCATGCGGAACCGTTCGCATATCTTGGAGAGAATCCCCAAACATCAGAGATTCCAAAGCCAAGCCGAATCTCTCCGAGCAAGGTAAATTCCAGCAGTCGTGAGATAATTATTGGGAATAAGATTCAAGTAGAAAGTCTCATCAGAGCCTCAAGGTTCCCTTCCTCATTTCTAAACCTGTATTCCAATGGCGGAGATTTATCATTCCGTTTTCCGCTCTCGGTTAAGAATTCGTGAAAATTCAACCGGTTTCCCGATGGTCGCGAACAGATTCTCCATACGTCTACTAGACTGAGCGGAGGATATTGCTTTGGATTTGTCTCCGGTCTAGAGGGAATGCCGCAGCGGTAATCCAATGCCATCCGCCAGAGAAACGAAATAATTTCTAGAAAGATTCGCCGTCCCTGTCGACATAACAACGTCATTCCGGCGCGCCACTTCTAGGGAGGGAAGTGGTGCTCCCTTTCTTGGAACATTCTCGCTCCCGCGCGGCAGTAGCTCACGGATCCACGTTGCTCGACAACGGCGCTTCGCGAACAGACTGCGCGGGTAATTTTCTCGCTGCCATGTCCGCGGTGGAAGTTCGCCCCTTTCCATCGAGCGAAACTTCAAACGTGGCAAGAGAACTTCCACTTTGCACGGATGACAGCTGGAACTCTTTGCACTTCATTCTCAACATATTCTTTAATGAAACGTAAGACACGGAAGAAGTGGCCACAGAAGTGAAATAGGTTGATGCTCAACGTGGGGCATTCTTCTCTGCTTCACATACCATTTCTGGTGGCTGAGTGCGGTGAACGGCAGCATGTTGGAAACGGAAAAAGGTCGAATTGTCTACGGACTCCTCAGTTCGCTCGTATTCCGGAGCAGCCACGATGATAGGTCAGTAAAACGTCGTCTCAAATCGACAGTTCCGTTCCTTCCGTACGTTCGCGCGACCATGACCGGCAGCCGGTCACGGTATCATCATTTCTTCTGTTCTCGGTATACGGTGTGACTCCCAGTATGTCGGCCCTCCAGCGTATTCGTGATGCTTCGGTATGGGGTCGAGCCGGGAACAGTATACGATTACACGTGACCTCCGTGATTTAATTGCTTGGACACCGAGTGACCATTCGATGCTCTCCAGGAGAGCTGGAAACGCCCCACAGTGCAAATGAGCATCACTCAGGAGAGCCTCTCCTGAGTGACTCTTGTTTTCTTCAAGGGATTGTCTTGGCTGGAGCTCGAGTCTTCAGAGTTTTCCACACAATACTAAATTCGATTCCTCTCCCAGGTGGGATGAAGCCGGGGACCGCCTCGTCTCGCTCGAAGAGCTCCAGATGCAGCAGCGACGACTCCGTGAAGTGCAGGAGAAAATCGTCCTCGCGGACTCGCCGCTTGACGCCTACGAAAAGCTGGACGATGATCTCCGAACAAGTCTGGGCTGTGAAGTTGTAACACCTGGCGAGATTACCTACGAATTCGACCAGACCTATGTCTTAAAAACTCTTGAGAACGCGGAGAAAGAGCTGAAGCAGCCTGAGAAGAGACTTCTAGTGCAGCAACAGAACCTCCACAGGTCAGTCTCGGCTGAGGCCATGATCATTATCGCGGTAATTCGTGAACTTTTCCTGTCGAATTGATATCATGCACAATATCCGACGTAGGATGAAAGTTCGAATTTGACTCCCATCAATCCCATCTGACCATCTGTCTCTCTCATCCAATGCAGGTGTCTGAAAGAGATGTTGAAGGCGAGCGATCAGCTCAACCAGTCGAACCGGATCGACCTCCGTCGTCGTTGGCATAATGATTTCACAAAACTCGTCGAAATCCTGTGCCAACTTGAGATCAACATCGCTACCCGAGAAGACAAATCCACACTCGTCAATCAACTCCTGTCGTACACCACAGAAAGCGAACGTCTTCTGAAACTTTCACCGAACCCGGAGGAGCGCAAGGCTCAAGTGGCCGATCTCCGAGAGTACGCGGTTCTAATCCGCAGCAAGCTCAGCGGAGCCCGATCGAAGCTGCCTGTTGAGTTGCAGCTGGAGCTCGAGCAGACTCTGGCTCAGATCGAAGGCACTCTCGAGAAGATTTCTGAAAGCATCGATCTCTCCTGGAATGTCAGAGAGAATATCGATCAGCTGAAATCTCTCCTCGCGGCTCTGGCCGCCGATTGCCTACGATGTCGCTGCGCCTTGAAAGTATGCGACGATGGGACTGTGCAAGACCTCTTCCAACAAGCGAACATCGAAGAGCAGATCAAAGCCGCTCAGGATCTCTACCAGAACGTCGTCGCTCTCATCCCGTCGCTCGCCGACGACTACAGGTTCACCTGTGACTCCAACCTGACGGCCCTCAACGCACCAGAAATCATGAGCGACGCGTTGGAACTCCTGAAGCTCCGACCCCGAGAGCTTGCCGTGCACTCTTCGCACCCGACACCGTGTTTTAAAACGAAAGCTGTAGACCAGAGAACAGCTCTCGATAACTTCCAGGAGAGTCTCGATCAAGTGAACGGAGAGGTGGCCTCGAGTCAAGATAAGGCCGTAGTGGAGTTTTTCCAAGATTTGAATGAGAACATCGTCCCGGTTTTCGAGGCGAATGTTGTCCAGGCGAAGCTCTGCGAAACTCTCCCCGCGGTCGCTGCGAGCTCTCAAAAACTCCACGAGAGCACCGGAGAAGGTCTCGATGAGTTGCAGAAACGACTCCAGCAGGTCCTCATCCTGAAGAAGGACTTGCTGTCGTCAATCGAGAGTTTCAATCTCGCAGTCGACGACGTCGAAGCCAATCTCGACAGGCCCCTCACGTTCCGGGACATTCAGGAACTGGAGAAAACAATCGAAACTTTGGAAAAGCACAAACCAAACAAGCACTTGACCGAAACATACACCGGCGTGGAACGCGCGTTCAACGAGCTCCTCAAATACTACCACGACCTGATCACGAAGACCACTGAGGACTCGATGCGGAAGGAGCTCAGCAACTGCAGGAAGCGCAACGAGAACGCGTGCAAACAGCACAAAATCAAGGTGAGCTCGATTTTTCCCTCTCATGTGCGATTTTCCCCTCGATATTTATTTCCTGTCCATCAGTCCTCCCCTATTCCCGCATTCCTCGTCCGGTGTCCTCCTCTTCCTTATCGGCTGGATATTCCTCCGATTCTCGGATAGAAATATACTCCGTCCACCGACTCTAATTGGGAAGAATCTCCGATCCTCGCAGGTGAAACAGCTGCGTTCTCTACGAGTGGGCTGGAACCAGCTGAAAAGCAATCTTTCGTCAGCTGCCAACGCGTTGGCTGACAGCGAGCGGGACCTCACTTTGGTTCACTCGACAAAAACCGACGAGCTCGCTCACATCCAGGCGATCCGCGAGAGTCTCGAGCACCAGGTCAACGAGCTCCACACCCGAGTGAACCACCTGCATCTGCAGATGACCAACCGAGGTCTCGTGAACGACGATCTAGCAGGAACTGTCAAGACGCTCAACGCCAAGTGGAATCGGCTTTACGCGACATGCCTTCAAAGAGCTGGCGAAGTCGCTGAAGCCGTGACCCACTGGAGCAAGTTCGAATTGGAAAAACAAAACGTTATGGTCGAGTTGACGGAAGTCGACATTCAAATGACCAAAATGGCTCGGGGTGTCCTACCCCTTTCCGACGAGAACCTCGAAGACATCGGAGCGCGACTGCAGCAGACCGAGCGTCAGCTCCAGGTCCTCGAGGAACAGGCGACCGGCCTACGAGGTAGGAGTCCTAGGAAGCGGTCGATATTCTGAAATCTCCTCTTCTCTCCCCTTTGTAATTGATCATGTTCCATCCGTAGTCGATGTGAGCCCATGATCAGAGTGGTAAAGCATCAGGACTCTCTTTCAGTCCGTACATATCGTAGGGACTCAATGAGTTCGACCGAGTCATTTGAAGCGCCTTTCTGAGTCGGAAGCGGCGTAGGTGAGGCTCTGCGTGGTGTTCTAATCCGGTTTCGTCGAGTGAACTAACACCGTCCCGTGTGTTTCAGGAGATACCATCGACGAGATCGTCTTCAGCAGATCAGAGCTCGACCTCGGAAAACTGCACAAACACCACAAGGATCTCCTGGATGGAATCGGCCGTCTCCGGAACCGGTCGGCTTACCAGTTCGGTCTGGACCCGACCATCGTCCAATTGATGGCCTCCAGTTCGAATGTGCAAATTCTCAACCGACTCGCGTCAGATAGCGCCTTGCCACCAGCGCCTGCGCCAGGGAGCAGTAAAACTCAAACGAAAAATGAAAATCTGCTGACAGCCATTCACGAACTCAAAGCCCGCGCGGAGGACATCAGATCCTCAGAAGATCCGATCGGAGGGCGTATATCCGATTTTACCGATATCTTACTCGAAAGCGGCGCTCTCAAGAAACGGATCAACGCCGTCAACGACGTTCAGAGCCGAGAGGCTTACGCGAGCTTGATCACTACCACCCTCAGTGAAACGCAGGACTGCCTCCAGGCCACGCTGGTGGAGGCCGCGCACCTCGACGAGACTGTCGGTGAGTTATTCTGCGAGCTAGATCCGCGCTTTACGGAAAAAACGTGTAGTATCTAGAAATTCCTAGAGCTGTGTCTGGGTTGGAGCAAAAGCGCGATCCACTGTATTGAGGAGCTCGATGGAGCGAACGATGGGGAAGTTCCGGTTCGTTTTTCGGGTGTCGGCTTGTGGACGCGGCGGAAAACGACCAGACTCTGCTGCTCGAGACCGTGGTCGAATTCGGCTGATAGACACCGGTCCCTCCGCTCGCCATCAGATCTCATGACGCGAAGCGGGACTGGTGAAGAAGTCTTGCGAGCGGTGACCAAATCTCGATGGCTGGACCGCGGCTGAGAGCATCCCCGGCACGCTCTTTGTCCTGAATTGATCACGTACATTAACCTCGGAAGCTTTCCGAGAAGCCACTGAACTGCGCAATCTGAGTGCTGGCAGAGTTTCCCACAAAATACTGCGCCACGCCGCTTGTTGTGCAAGCGATGACGGGAGCTCTCACCCATCCCTCAAGCGCTGCCACCGAGCTATAAAAGCCGGAAACTCGAACTCCCAGAGGAAAATCGTGTCTTTACCGTACGTTGTTCAGCACTGTGAGTGAGTCCACAGCTCGACGGGCTATGCAGATAATACGCGGTGCCGACCATTACAGACGTACGCGATGTGAATTGTGAATCAAAGTAGAGAAGGGAACGTGTACTAGACATAAAGTCTGTGAGAATCATCGGCCCGACGTTAATTTCCGGGACATATTGTTTTTCAGGTCAGTTATCCGATTATCTGTCCGCGGCCGAGGGAAGACTGGCCGCGGTGGAAACGGACGACGCAAAGTTAGCCGAACTCTCCACAATCCGAGATGATCTAGAGCATGCGCGACCGCTGGTGTTTGCTCTGCAGCAGGCCGAAGCGTTCAGTCCAGAGCTCCACGATTCGATAGGAGTAGTGGCTCAGCAGATGGATAGACTCATCTCCTTATGCGGCATGCACGGCTTGCAGGTGAGTCCATGAGCGAGGAGGAAGGTCCAATATTGCGGAGTTTCGCGTTACCCTCCGGTGAAGTCGTCCAATGCCTTGAAGAGACCGACTCCGAAACCTCGGTATGCGACCTACTCAAAGACCGCTCCCGCCCTCAGGTATCACGTGAAGCCTCATCAGCAGCGAGTTCCTTAGAAGACTTGTTGCCAATCGGAGAATCGTCCGAGAATCGTTGGCAATGGTTCGTGAGCCGTGTGATGAGGACTTCGTTGCCGATCCAGGCGTTCCTTCTGCTTCTTCTGGGCGCAGCTAGTCTTCTGCCCATGACAGAAGAAGATTTCAGCTGTGTATTTGTCAACAACTTCGCTCGCTCGATGAACCCGATGCTGAAGTTCCCTGCTGGACCCCCACCTATCTGAAGAAATTCCCAATCAGACCCTCGCATTTCCGAAGCTGCTCCCAAGATCACCGAGGGGAGCGGGACTTGATCCGGAAGATTAGAAAATTCAGGAATTGGAGCAGCGATGACAATATTACGAAAAAAAAGAAAAAAAAAGACAACGCCACAGAAGCTCAGAGGGTGGCAGTCGAAGGACGTGTAGAAAGGCTGGACGCTTTGAAATATGAAGTGCGCTGATAATCGAAATTTTCGAAAGTTATCGAACTTCATCGAAGTGAGACTTCACTGCGTCACCCATTCTAGTCTACCGAGAACTTCTCAAAAGATTACTTCCTTCCCATTCTGAAAAATTCTTCTCTGCAGAAATCCACTCGAGCTCTTCCTTCGAGGGGGAGCATCCGCAACTCAAATCTATTCGCTTGTAGAATTAGATCGAAACTACTCTTGAAGAGTCAGTTCAAAATAATCTGATTATTCATCATTTCATCATTGACTGTGAAAATGTGCGTCGTGAGGTCTCCCTGAAGTCCTCGTTTCCCCATCGCGACTTCAGTGACACTTCACGATGTTCAACGAGAATCTTGCTCGCATTTCACCGTGTATAATATCGAGGAGAGGCTCGTTCCCGCCTTCTTCCACAACTAGAGACGAGAAACAGACCGTCCTGTGACTTATGATAGAATGAGAGATGACCCTAAGCAGAAATATTCAATGAGTTGATGACGTAATGAGCTTTGTTACTTAAGGCGCGTATGTTTGGCATTCGACGGTACCACGCCTTACTAATATATTATTTTTTGCCTGTATGGATGCGACCACGGAATGTAATATATCGCCGTGAGCCCAATGTAATAATGTAGAGAGTGGCGCTTTACCGAATTGTAGATAGTTGAACCCTTATGGGAGTGAGATAGTCAGTCACGGGAGACCATGTTCTCAGTGTTGTATCGAAGCACATTTGAGTAAAACTAATTTGTATGGAACACGCAGCGACTTCTCCTTTCATTGACGTTCCCTAGCTTTCCTCCTCCGAATGAGACCGAGAAGCGACCGATATCCTTTGTCGGATTCTTGACATCGAAATCGATCGAACACCCAATCGGGTCGTCAGATCTCTGCGCTAGCTCTTCTCTTTAGTAAGCCGCAGACCAGCGAGACAACGGGTCAGGTTCTAGACTTCGGTCGTTAATCAGCCCTGGCCTGAGGACGTGACGTCTGTATCCGTGCAGAGGAGATGAGGGCTCCCATCGATAGCCGAAGGGAATGCCATGGGAGTAGCGACGGGAAGCTGGCGGGAACAAAAGGCTCAGTCGGAGCTGCCGACTTCCTTCCGCAGGTTCAAATCCCATATGACGGAATTAAGAAGGTACAGACGGAATCACATCGCGCGAGCCTGCATGTGACGTGCAGACCGCTCCAGTCACTCGGTCCTCCGCCGGCTTCCCTTGTCCCGCTCTGGGTGGAATATCATGCAGCGACGTATTACTGAGCACACACTTCGAATCCCACCCTCCCTGACCGCTGTTCCAAAGAAGCGGATTGCCTTCGAACAGCGATTTTCATTCCAGAGCTCAGACCGCGGCTCGCAATGGAAGAGTCCATAGGTACAAGACATAGTTTTTTTTATTACTCCCGATGATTTGATGCAACCCATCGCCTCCGCAATCGCCTTTGACTTGGCATTGGTTGGTTCCAAGCGTTCTCAATCTCGTTGTAGGATCGACAGATTTCCATTCGCGTTAATCAGTTACATCGTTACGCTTTTTACTTCTTATCACTTCACGCTCGAATCTCAGCAGCCTTATTTTCTGAATTTTTCTTGTCGCAATCATCGTGTGAAACAGAGAGCTAATATCTAGGAGGGGCCAGCGATTCAAAGAATGATGTCGCATGACACAAACTCCGGCAGTCCGATCTGTCAGCTCGAGGGAGGTCGCGTTGATCAGCGCCCCCCGCAATGATTGAGTTTTCAGAACTCACTCGATGTCACGTTGCCTGATTTCTGAGATTTGCTCCTCGTGTTTTTCGGAATATGTAATTAGAAAATGTTCCGTTTGTGGTTCTACTATGTACACAAGGCATCCCCATATCTTACAGCGGAACAGGATTCGCCGAGTTCACAGGGCTCTTACTTAGAGATCGGACCCTGAACGTCCCGTTATTCGGATCGAAATGTGTCTAAACGGAGGCAAACTCGAGTCCTGCCACTCGGCCATCCGTCGGTCAGAGGTCCCCCGCACCATTCGTATCCTCCGGTGCGTCGTCTTCCTTGATTCGCTTCGAGGGATTTTCGGCGGACTCTTCGGAAGCTTTTCGGATAGATTTTCGCTTCTTCTCGGGAGGAGGCAGCAAGGCAACCTCTTCCGGTGGCAAGACCGTCGCGAGGTCTCTGCGTTTGAGGACCCGTACTTCGACATCCATGCCGTCCTTAAGAATCTTTATGTTTTCCGCCTGACGGAAAATCACGTCGCGGAGATTCCTGACGTTTTCCGTCAGATCGAGATTGAGTTTCTCTTTAGTTTGTCCGAAGTGCAATCCGATAAACCAGTTGACTCCTTCGGTTTCTTCTTGGGGTTTGGGCTCTGCTTTTTCTTCCGTCTCGTTCGGTTCAGTTTCTGCGGAGGCTTTCGGGGATTCCTCTTGTTGTTCCTTCACGGGCTCAGCTGGCGGTTTGTCCTCCTTCACTTTGTTATAGCTCTTTGGATTGACGTGAGCGATCTCTATGCACGGAACCCTTTCCAGGGAAATGATCAGTGTTCTGATTTTGGATTCTACGAGACCGTACCACGTGAGCAAATCTTCTTTTGTGTTCGCGACTGCTGTCAGCATAATGAATGTCTTGTACTGGCCGAAGAATTCCGGAGGCGAGAAGAGATCGTGCCAAGTTCCTTTCCCTTTCAGAATGTTTTCGGTCACGGCGAGACCCTCCTTGAATGCCTTCGTCATAATGGTCCGTGTACTCAATGACGTATTGAACGTCGAGTTCTGCTCCGGATAAACCGGTGTGATTATCGGCATCAGATGATATCTGTCGGCAACGTTCGTTCGGGAATCCCAGACGCTGAATCCTCCCAAATGTTGATGAGCAGCGGTCTGGGTCCTCAGATGGACCGGTTTGGGCCAAGGCCACTGGGAGAAAACGAGGAAGAATTTTTGCACAACTACCGCAGCGGCGGCATGGGGGTACAGCTGGCAGGTGCGAGCCACGAGCATTGCCCACGAAACCCCACCGAGATATCCTAAGACGTTGCTGTAGACTCCTTTCTTTTTCGCCCACAATTTTATCGTTCTGAGCGCGGTGCGGAATACTGGTATATCGGGAACCAGATGGAGGATTTCGTCGGTCACCTGGAGAAACGGGAATGTACATTAAATGGGAGCCGAGCTAGACAGCGGATGGGCAGCAAAATAAGCTGACAAAACATAGCTCAGGAATTTAGCGTTGCAGATTGCAGCATTACCCTGCAGCCGTTCAAGCTCCGAACACATTTAGCGTCGAGATTCTTCAGCAGAGTCATGTCGCGCAGTTCTTGGTCTGGCGGAATATCTTTGAGGGCTAGTCTGGCGAACAGCATATCGAATTCGATGCCATCAAACTCCATTTTGATCACGGGTACGTAGGCTTCCTCTACTGCACGAAGATCCCGTACTTGAGGCTGAAAGATTCAATGGGATGGAGTCATCCTTCGGTGCGATTCTCGAGTTGATGATCCCACTCCATCCAGATAATCCTCGCATTCTGAACAGCAGAGGCTTGATCCAGGATCGGCCATGGAGCCGAGTCGATTGGGATTGAGGCTTTACAATTATTGAGACCCACCTGCTGTTTGAGTAGTTCCACGAAACTAGTGAAGAAATCTGTTCTCTCCACATGTCTCGGTGCCACGCATAAGGTATCGATATCAGCACCTTTGGTATGAACTCCGAGGCGATATGAGCCGAAAGTAAAGATTTTCCCCCGCGTCGAGGACGCTATGTTCTCGGGTACACCTTTGGCAATCGAAACCTCTTGTATCCATTGCTGAACCAATTCGTTGATCCTGCCTAGTACCTGGATATTTAACGACGTTAGGTATGAGTTCGATGAAGTCTCTTTGTGAGGAATCGCTCTATCCAAATCTATTCCGATCACATGCGAGGCTACAGTTGCTGTCACCGCAGGTCTCCTCAGAAGCGTACACACACACACGCATACACACACACACGCGTGTCAACACAGACAGACCGAGACGGAAAGGAAGAATATTCCTCCTTGCTCGACGGCGGAAGCTTTTCTCCTGGGAGTATTTCCAGGTTGGCTCAGTCTTCTGCAAGCTTTTCTGAGAACCTAAACCGTCGTCCTCATCGGAGGAAACTCCTCACGCAAACACCAGACGATTCAGAGTGCTCAGCAGTGGGAAAAGTACAGAAAGCGTAGAGAGTCAAGCTGTCTGCCCGTTAATATGTAGAATACAACCATGATTATTTTTTTCGTAAATAGTCGTATTTATTCGGGTTTCTCATCTTTTGTTTTTCGTAGGATTGTGACAATTGTTTTTTTTCTCAAGATCATGGATTTTCTGTACAATAATGAAGAGTTAGTGAGTGAAGTGAATCGATCTGACAGCCCGCATCCTGTGCTGAAATACGATCGAGCGAGATCCTGGGCATTGAGATCATTCAAGTCTGGACTTTCGACTCTGCAAAGCCGTAAAACAATCAGCTAATCAAGTCGAAGGAAAAAGTGGTAACAAACCTGAAGTCGATGATCCAATTCGCTCGCGCTTTCGAAGAGACCGAACTCGTGCAGAACGGCTTCGAGCTCTTTTGATTTATCAAGATCCACCGGTCTGGGGAGAGCCACGCTGATGGGGGCGGTCACTCCGGGGTACTTTTCGCCCCTTGTCCCCGTCAGGAAGTTTGTAACGTTCGACATCGGGCTTGGTCCGGATCCCTCCTGGCTCTTGGGGAACACTCGCCTGGTCGACGCGGAAAGCGACTTGCGACGCTACTCCGTGCGATCGCCGAAGTTGTCAACGTCGTTTCGTCACCAGTGTCAGATTCGATTAATGAACACAGCGTGGTCCTCGGAACGGAACCGTCGATCTGAGGGAGTCCAACCAAATGTATCCCGGTCGTAGGGAGCTCACGATAGGTTTTCCCGGTGTTGTCGAGGGCCTGCTGCGTGAAGCTTGCGCACGGCCCAGCGAGCTATCCCCCAAGCTGCAGTGACGGCAGGACACGTGATGGATTCCGGCCGCGACGTATCGCTCCCAATGCCTCTCCGCCGAATCGGGAGTCTACACCCGGGCTCTCCTATCCCAGGTTCGCAGTGGATCGATTTCCCGTGTATGATTCCACTGCTCTCACACGATACACAAGCAGCATCGAAAACCAGCCGCCATTGAACTTGCTTGAGTGAATGGATGCATCACTGTTACGATTGGGCGCGAGGGCGCTCCGAACGCCGACCCTCTCCCAGCTGGCGATTTCCGACTAAAATCGCGAAATTTCATGATCCTGACTGACGTACTTAATGTCGCACTTCTGCGGAAATTCTGCTGCGGATAGTTGCGGGTTCTGGGCTGGGAATCTCGGAAGACCCTCAGAAAACCATCGGGGTGAGCTCCTATAGATTTACAACCGCCCAGACATCCCTTCTTCAACCCCTCCGCCCGAAAATACTCGGCGCGCAAAAGTATCAGCTGTGTTCTACAGACCTGAAGAGCTGTTCGACTCAATGAATTACCGAAGTGGCTCCGGCGAAATTCGACTGTCAGGGTTCAGTCAGAACCCGTGAATGGATTCACTGGAGGATTCACCGATGTATACCCCACCTCTATCACCATCGAGGGTGAACGGTGACTCTACGTCGCCATCGCGGAATCGAAGCAGGATTTATGGTGAGACGTTGTTCGAATTTGGGTGTCCCATCCTACTCCTGAACCAGTCGATGCGAAAATGAATGAAACCGACTGTGGAAGGATTACTCGGGAGGAAGGTATTCACGAGAGGATATTCCAGAGGCTCCATCTTGTCCATCTATTGATTGCGCCGTCGTGAGGTACGTGTGTATGTATGTCTCTGATCGGAGGATGCTGAGGAAATATCTCCCCGACACACGGAATCCAAATAATCTATTCTGGGAGTCGGTGGCCTGGTTCCCGCATCAGTTCCGAAGAGCTGAACACCTTTCTGTTCTCTGACCCTTCCCAGAGCGGTGAGGAGTTTCCCTGGACACTTCGAATATTTACGCATTTTCGGATACCCCTGTCCCCGGAAGAAGTTTTTCGATGAGTCGGCTCTGGAATATTATTTCAGGATCTTCAAGTGAGTCGTCCTGACTATCTATCCGACTCCCTCCGCCTTGGATTTTTTCAAGTTTCGCCTTGAACTAAATTTTCTATCCTCGACGCGAATACGCAAAGGCCAGCTGGGCTCATCACTTTTCAGATTTCATCTGCAACCCTTCTCGACGATGTGCACTCGACAATCTCATGACCAAGGACCGCTACAGGAGTCCGCTGGATACCTGATCTCCTTTCTCGACTTCATCATCAATGAGGCGGTGGTCAATAGAGGTGGTTACTACTTAATACGCGGGCTCACTCGGGCCGTTTTTCCGGATAATTCGTCGCAAGTCATGCTCCCCGGAGAGCTCGGGGGAGAATACGGAAGATAATAATCCAGTATTATTCTCTCCCAAGTTGTTCCGGAAACGGCTCTGCGCACAATTTTCTGGCAATTGGTGAAATGTATCCAATATGCGGGTCGAATCCATGAAAGCGCTCTCATGGACATAAACAAGAGGTCGCTCCATGTCCTCCTGAAGCTGTGGATGACGACTTGGAAAATCTCTCAGATCTCTGACGCCGTACGCGAAGGTGAATTTTCCGCGTTCCCTCTCTCTATTCATTTTATTTCATGCTATATTCCTACTCTTTTTATTCGGATGGGAACTCGATCCACTTCCGACTCACGAGGCTTTCGTACGCTCCAGCGAACTCCCTCACTCATCTGATGTTTTGGGATCTTGTACTGGCTTGCCGGAGGAGTCGAGCACCCTGCGCATGTCTGCGAGAAACTTTGATTGAAATCACAGATCATCGTACGGGGGCGTTCTGGGAGGATCTCATCAAAATCGAGGAACAGGAAATCTTGCTAGGGGATGAGGAATGGTCTTTATTCGGTCAAGGTTCCACGGAATTGGAAAGCACCTTTCAGCTAGACTTGGTGACGATGCTTCTCGAGAATAATGTCCAGGTAATGAAGGATATTCTAGGTTGAATCTCGAGAATGAGGATCGTTCCAGGCTGAGCATGACCCTCGATTGACCGATGAATTCCTCTGTCGCTCGAAAAATTTCATGCCCAGGATCTGACCGTGGTGATATTCCCTTCTTCGGATTCAGCTCCCTCCGAATGCAGCCTATTGCCGTCTGCTACTCCTGTCTTCCCTGAATTCGAGTCCTGAAACTACAGTCATGAAAGCCAAGGTGCTGATCTCGTATTGGCCACAACACGCAATGGAGTTGTTCCTGCCCATTCTCGGTGAGGTTCCCAATAGACCATCGAGCACGGTTGATCGATTAATGAATCAGAGCCTCAGAGGGGGCGTATAATTGCGGTTTGTCTGTGCGTCGATCGCTCCGACATCTCTTCCGCCATGTTCATAGCTCCCTTAGGAGTACAGTATTCATTGGGGTATTCTTACAGATCATTTCCTAGTCAATATCGATGTTTCTAACGAGAAGCGCGCTCTCGCGGGGGCCGGCCTCTTCGCTGAGGATGAGATTTCCGCCAAGAGCTTGCTCGATACCTTGGAAACTCTGACAAGCGCATCTAATGCAAGGTCAGCGCAATTACCCCGCATGATACGACCGTCACCGCGGCTGCTTCGCGTGGACCATCGAGCAAAGGAGCAGGTCGAGAGATAGGTCATTTCACGGAATTTCCGTTTTTCTCAGGCAAAACAATGCTTTCTTGGAATGTCTGTCTCTCGCATCAGATATTCTCCGGGATTCGAATCGGAACGCTCTGCGTCAAATCACCGGCCGAGTTTACTTGAAAGTCTCCCGCGCGAAAGTTTTGACATTCTCTAATCGGGGATTGTCGAATTTCACGCTTCTCATGCTCGTTCTCGCCAGATTCAGCGAAACTCCGGCGGATATTGTGAGTCCCTTCAAATCGTACATTGTTCCGTGCTTCGATCGCGTCTCAAAAGATGCGCAGGAGTCAAATAATCATTCTTTCCGCAGCTGAAACGCTTCAGAGATATCGCGATCCCCGGGCGGGATGTCACCATCTCCCCGGCTAAAATAAGGCTGCTCTGCGCCTCGCAAGCCTCATTCCAGTTGCTGATGAATCTTATGGAGAAATCCATCGACCTCAAGCCGGTTCTGAATTTTGTTCTTGAACGTCTCGACCAAGATATCAAGATCTACGCGGGAGAAATCGTACCTACCTTACTCGAAATATTCGAGCATCTAGCGGCATCAGGAGCTCTCAACAGAGGTTTAATGTTCGGTGAGTGAGACTTTCAGAACTCGGGTCAGGAGACAGGTCAGTGGACGAGAGAATCGCGAACAGCTGTCGTAGACCGAGAGAAGAACGGTTTCGTAAAGGAGCACATCATGTTATTCTAAGCTACCCCTCTGTCATTCTTGTGCATGCCTCACCGACACGGACTCGGCTACATTGCGTTCAGTAATAACTGGAGGTTCGACGAAGTATAAAACTGAGAGATCGGATGCGGGAAGCGCACCATAATTCCCATTCGAAAAGCAGCGACCCCCTATCTCCGAAGCCCCGCTTCGTCCCGGCGCTCCAATGCATGTCTCTTGGTTATACACCCTCGGCCTCTTCGGATGACCCACGATGTCGAAATAGAATTCGCCCTCCGGAGTTTGCAGCTCCGCGTATTCCGTTCGAGAATGCGGAACACTGACCTACCACTCCGCTTTTGAATGAGAGTTCGATCGCTTCATCTGCAGATCCACAGCTCGGTACATTATTCGACCGGAGCCCCGCTTCCATTCAAGTGTCCATATTAGCTTCCTGCGGTGAGGTGGTCGATTCATTCTCCGACCAGAAAAGGCGAGTTCTTCATCAGGAATCTAGTTCGAACCTCAGCCCGAGGGGATCCAATCGATGTCAACGAATTTCTCGACGGCAAGAGGGAACCTCGTCGGAAAATATAGTCGATTGGTTGTTTGACGTTCCAGGTCGACGTCGGACCACACGGCTGCGAGGAACGAGTTCGCAAAGTCCACAGCGACGGTCGGTTTGCACATGGTATGCAGCATCCTCCGAAGACTCGAGAAATATTCGTACGGCTACGAACTCAACTGTGCAGCCGATTTCTCGTCGAAAATCCTCCGATGTCTCATGAAATGGTTCGGGAAATTCTCTAATCATTGCGTCGGTTGACCTTGAAATTTATTTCCTCTGCGGAAAACTCAAGTCTGCCTTCATGACGGAAACACTGATACAGGCAAGAAGAAATCGGGCCCGTGAAGCTGTTCAACGAGCTCATCGCGTCCCAAATGGCCGTGCAGCCGGTCTTCGTGGCCCGACTCCTCGCAAACATCGGCAGCAACGATCGGGAAATGTTTCGCAAGTTTTGGTCGGAGCTCGACGAATCGGATGTCGTGTTACTGAAGTTATTCATGCTTGTCAAAGCACCCAACGAAGACATGGATACGCTCTCGAAGTCAGTCTTCGAGATGAAAGCTACCTCGAGCGAGGCCCAAGTAAACAGCTATTTTGTCATTCTTCCGATCGAGAAACGAATTGATCTGGAATGCATGGCAGGAATAGGAAAATATCTCACTCAGAGTGCTGGCGCGTTTTCCAGATGGAAATTTTCTATCTCCGCGATGGCTTCGAGAATTGTGACGCCATGCAGCGTTACCAGCGGACTGTTCGATCGTGGGCCAAGCGTCTCGAAGCCCTGATGAGATCAGACAAAATACATCAGGCGGTCCTCTTCAGAAAGAAAGTTCGTGCGGTGCTGGCCGCGATCCGCTTCGATACCAAGTCCGTGGCTGAACTGCCGAGCGGGCAAGTTTCCCATCTCTACAGAGCGGTCTCGACCCTGTTCTCGGGAGCCCCGGAGCTGTTATACACGAAAGTGAGTTCGGATCGCTGAGGGTCACCGGCGAAATCGCGAGCGACGAATATTCCGAACCTGCATGAACGAGGGGGAAACGCATGAAAGTCCAAGCCTTTAATCCGCGACCCGCCTGCGGAGAAGAGGGATCGCGCTGTCGATCGAGGGAAATAGTTTGATGTTGCCGCGGAACGGAATTAGGTTACCGGCATCGGGGCCAATGATGATCCCGCCGAAGGATCGAGCACGGAAATGCGCTGCTGTTTTCTACCGAGTTTTGATATTCAGCTTAAATGTTCCAGGGCCTTGCCGACTGTCCCCTGCCCTCACTTCTCGAGGTGTTCGTACATCCGAAGACGCTAATCCGGGAAGGTAAAACGGCGCTTCCTCGCTCGCAGATGGAGGGAATGAGAACACAGGGCCACCATTTTCTGATTGGTCTCGCGAAACTCCTGCGAGGCGACGCGCTGATCTCGAGGAAACTCAGCGAAATCGTTTCGTACTATTGCAAACAGTTTCCCCAGGCGACACCGATATCGTCGTATTTCATCCACGTCTGCAAGGTGAGCTCCTCTCCTTGGACTCGGACGACGATGGGGAGTAAGATAGAGGAGACTCAGTGGAAGCACGGAGGTTCCCGAGTCCCTCTCAATAAATCTAAAGTGTCAGCGAAGGAGCTCAAATCTGATTTCAGGAATCTGAGTCCTTGACGAAAACCATGGGAGACATTCTCTGGAACCTCGATTTGGACAGGAGTGCAATTATCGAAATTCTTGTCACCGTTGTCAAGAAAGTCTCGGAGCATGTATCGAGTCCCCAGGGAGTTCGCAAGTGAGTATGAATCCGGAGCAGCTCCGACACTGACTTCCTCCGTCGCGTAATAAGTGAGCCTATCTCCTAAAACGCGAGACAGACGAGCGTCGTCAGGACTCGTTTCGACCGAAACCCGCGGAAAGACGCTAGCTCGGAAACGCGAATACTGATGCATTTGCAATCATGCCCCTTGTGAAAACGCGAATTTCTGATTGATCGGAAAGCGGTCTTCAACTTTGTGGGGGCTCGCGTCTGCAACGGTGCGTCTGCCGGGAACGAACGGGGAAGACCGCGTCCGCGTCGACTGAGTGTCTCTCGGCTGTCGCGGATGGTATTTTTAGAGGCTCATCGCTGACTATTATCCTCCGGACTGGGGGGCAAAAACTGGCTAATGCAGATGGTACAGATGGCAAATTGCAGCGCTAGCGCCAGCAAATAGCGGTCGTTGTAGCTACTTGGTCGTTCGCATTAGATGGCCTCGTGGGCACAGTGATCTGTTCTCACACTCAGTCGCAACTCCACAATAGCTGCTCAGTGTGCAGCGAGTGCAAAACGGTCGCATTACGCTCAGGGACTCCAGAACGGGGGCACTTGCGGCATTCCTCCGGATCGGAGCTGATCCCCGAGGCGAGGCTGAGAGGCTCCTCTGAGAGCCAATTCGATGACTCCATCAAAAGTTCCCACAAATCTGAATCCGTCCAATGCCGAGAGATAAGGAGATTCATAATCGATGACATGACGGAGGTGAATTCGACTCTCGAATGGAAAGGGAGTTGACGGTTCCTTTTTAATTTCAGTTTCCATCTGGTTCTGGGAGCCAAATTTCTACCAAGTTACGAGACCGTTCTCCTGAGTAAATTCAGGAATTTACTCGATTGCTGCTTCATCCCCTGCGGAATCCACTGCCCCAATGAAACTTCGTAAGTCGTCGGTGTCCGTTGTACCTTCGCGCTTCTCCGCGATCTAGGACGGCCTGTTCCTTGTCGACCCACGCAGCCCACGATATTCGATGACTCGAAACTGAGTTCTCCGATTGAAGAAAGCAATCGCTTGGAGTGGAGCCGTCATTGTTATTCGTAGTCTGACCGATCCGGAAGATTGGCCTGCGCGAACTTCACACTATCGAAACGCCTGACGTCGACCAGGAGGCGGCGACGAACGGAAAGGTCAAAGCGCGGTGTTGTCGGATTTTGTCCCGGCGAGATCGCGAAACAGCTCCTCTTCGATATGAGATTCGATCTCTGCGCAGAAAAATATCAAATCGCGGCAGGAAACAACAGAGAACTGATTCCGAGCACGTAGTGCGCAGCTCAAATCCATTAACGTTGGGCCACTGTCGATCTTCGTCTAACTCGAGTGAAACCCTGAAGCTCGGAGTGGGGTGACAGCAGGCGAGCCGAAAACGACTTGGACGGCATATTTCTGGTGATGAGGAGAACCCACAAAGTCGTGCTCACTGGAATATTTTTTTGATCCAGATCGATCTCTCCTGTGCTTGAGACCCTCATGAAGAAATTGGATGCGAACCGGATGATCATTTTGCTGGAACAGATCGCTTCATCCTGGCCAGAGCTCGCGGCGACATCGCTCAGACTCCAGAGAGTGACTCACCTGTGCGATTCTTCGGCAGACTTCAGGTACCTTCCGATAGTATTCGAGAGCATTCTATCCGACCTTGCCTTCTATCGGCGAGCGAATATATTTCTAGTGGTACGTCGCGGCTTCAGAGCCCATCTGAGAGACGAGAGAACACTTGTTTGGTCCGCGTATTGTTAGCCTTTGATCACGTTTGGGAATAAATCCGATTACAGGTCCCGTCTGGAGAAGATCAAGGGGAAACTCAAGAGTATGGCTCTTTCGGAAGAGCGTATGCCCGGACCTGATGAGCCCGTCTGAAACCCGGCGCTCCTTATCGCGCTTCCGAATTCTTTCCAGAAGGGAAGAAATCTCTAATTTATGTACCTACTTGTGCGCGTCCGAATAAATATACCATAGTGGACCTCCACATCCTGAGGCAGTGTTCTCTGTAGCGTGATCCGGCATTTCCTCGGAGTATTCCGATTCTTCGGGCGTTCTGATCAATTTATATCCCAAGACCGAGGCGTGGTCGTCCGAGCATTCTCCTGACGAGATTCATCGAGACCTCTGAATGTCTCGGTAGGTGGATCCCGAAGCAAGGAAGACGGACACGATTCCCAATTGGAACGAATATCGGAGTTCCGCATCCAAGTCCTGCCTGGCGGGAATATAATGGAGACGCGCCGAGGAGCAATCCGATAGGTTCTGGAGATGAGTGCAATGCCTCACGAGCATACGATAACATGGGGAGGGTGCTTTCCATTGATCTTCTAGCAGTGACGCGGTCCATTTCATCAACAGGTGGAGACGGGAAAGGGCAGGATGATCGCCGAACATTCCTCTATGATTGAGCTGGGCCTTTTCCATGTGAAGGTCAGTCCCCGTCGTCGAACCTAGCACGCGTCCCAGCGTATTGGTTGTGTAACTCCGAATATTGCGGGATGCAGGATGAGAAGACTGACCAGAAGGAAGAAGGGTGCTCCGCTCAATGTTTTGGGAATTCCCGATGGAGCTCTCATTGAATGAATAAATGCCCGCTCCTCATGGCTCTGCTTTTCCTATTGCTGTTCTTTGGCCGGAGGATCATCTTCATACTTCATAATGCCCTACCTCGTGTACCAGAGCGGCACAGCATTCTCCAAACAAGACACGAACGTGCAAATTCGAGCTCACTGGGTCTTATCGAAGATCCATCCGGCTTGGCGGGTCTTGTTTTGCCTCACGGCCTCTGAGGGACAACAACTCAATCTGATTGTTTGACTCCAGGAAAGAGATCTTAATCAGACGACTGCACCCTGCAGAAACATTACAGCGCTACGCTCATTGGCATTTCGGACCCTCTTCGCTGATGAGCGCTGCCAATCTAAACCAGATGCATTTGACTAATGAAAATCTAGCCCACTTTCCAGACTTATCATTAGGCCGCCACAAGATAGAACCGTGAGATTGTGAGTGATGTTCATGTGGAGCGGTAGGACGAGGATATTCAATGAATTCACCGCCCTGACGGATTCGCCCACGCAGGACGAGATCTGATCGGGGAAAATCCGAGAATTCAATGTTTCGGTTTTGATCCATCCAGAGTTCACCTCGGAATCTGATTGAGAACAAAAGCCGAGAGAGAAATGCTCCCATGATCGAAGAATTTCCGGGAGAGGGTCAAGAGGATTGAAAACACGTCGCACTCTGAAGAATTGAATAATCGATGGGGCTGTGGATCTGAGCAGTCAGGGAAGGAATCATGTGATATTCGGTAATTCGGATTTATTCACCCCGACATCGCCGCGTTTAGGCTGGCTTACGGCGGTCAAATCCCGATAGAAGCGTTTCTCGCTTCCCTCATGATCGGCCCACTCGTCTGGCTCAATTCTGAGGGGCTCGAGATCATCAACACAAGATCAACAGGAAGAGAGAGACTCTCTCAGGGAGATGGCTAAGCTCTCTCGATCCAATGTGATTCGGTCTCTATCTTGAATCGTTTCAAGTTCTTGTTCCGGCGCCTCTCCTATCGCATCATTCAACAAAATGGTCCGCAAAATCCCGTTCCAGAATCCCGTTAAAGCAGTGCATATCTATCCCGAGCCAACAGCTCTGGGATACCGCTCGCTTGCACACGAGCCATCATCGAGCTGGAGTTTTTGGGTGAGAGCGAAAGCAGATTTTATATGTAGACAAATAGACCTTGTCAACATTGGCATACCCTTCATCGATCATGGCCGTCGCGCGAATGGAAGATGTACATCTACGCGAGCAAACATCCAAATAAAGCCTCGGATCTCCCATCCACGAGGGTGTTTGCCACCAGGAATCAATAGTTTATTACATGGACTCTCTTGCTTGCAGCGCTCCGATGAGGAGTTCTCGTAATGCGTTCCGGCTCGAATAGTATTTTGCTTAGAATCGTTCGGATCCCGGAAAGGGAAGCTCCATTTCACCAGAAAAACAAAATTATCGCCCTCATGACTTCGTTCGCCGGAGAATTGCCATATCCTATCAACTCTCTCATTTTGCTGTCTTCGGAGTTTGTGAGGGAGGCCTCCTAGTACGGAGCTTGAGTTTCCAGAGCGCTTCTCTCGGATAACACTTCTTTCCGTTGCTGGAGAGGCTGTATTTTTCGCCGAAATTGAAGCGGAGGCACTTTAGAAACAAATCTCTACTCGGGTCGCTCCGGCAGGAAGCTTTAGGGGGTAATTTGACACCGAATGTATCTTTGTCGCACGGGACCAAAGTGATATTGATGTGCTCGCTCTTCTCACCTGAGACTGGACGCCCGAGCCGACGGGGGCGGAAGCAGATAGGGAGACTCTGGGAACCTGGAGGTGAGGTGACAGGGGCGCCGGCAAGCCAGGAAATGGAGGCCACGTGCATCACTCGACCGATCGTCCGCATCAGGCCAGCCTGACGAGCTCTCTATAGCTGCCATTGAGCTGCCAATAGCAGGCGCAAAACGTCCTCCCGAAGGCCACCGTGGACTCCGTCGCTGCTGCTGTTGCACTCGAGGAACAAGACCTCACCGAGAGGGAAATAGACGGGACCGACATCGAGAGTTTCAGGTGAGTGATCCCGGGAACTCGCGGCGCCATAGAAGCCCCCTCTCCCCTCAAGCTATGATCGCGTTATAATTGAATATTCCAAGTCCGTAGAGCTACCGACGCTCAGAGATCTCTGCGCTCTCCTAGACCTCCATCTAGCATAAGCGGGTCATACAGAGAGCCCAGCCGTCCGGGGAAAGCAATCGGTGAGAGGGGATCTCCGTCTCATTTATTCCCAACGTTTATCAGCATTTGGAGGTTCGAGTAGAGCTGTCAAGTATGGTTCGTAAGAGCATTGTTTGGTGGAGAAGTCGATCAGATATCAGCCCGGCTCAAGGCGAGGAGCCCTCTCACCAGTGAGTAGGCTGTAGGATTCGATGACGAGTCATACACAAAGGCACGCGCGAGACAGGCGATATGATTGGACTGTTTCTATTAAGGTCCTGATTACGCGGGCTGCGTGCTCAGAATGAATCAAGGAGACTTCTTTCCGGAAGCTTAGGCTCCTCTCGCATCTAAAAGCAGCAGCAGGAGCATTACCACCACCGCGAGAACTCACACCCTGGAATACAGGCCTGCGAAGATCCAGGACTGGATTACTCTCTCAGGGCTCGCTTGCCAGCTAGCTTGCGCTGCATGCTCGCCCACATGTCCTGTCAGCCGCTTCCCTTAAGCCAGAGGGTCTAGGCACACTTTGCCATGAGCCCCGCTCGCTCGCGAATGCTCATAGAAGCAACTAGGCTGGCTGAGCTGGCTGCGGAGGCTAGGGGTACAGCTCCGAACGTATTCGAAAGCTCTCTCATGCACAGTGGCCGTGTTCTGCCCGCCCCTTATTTCCGCAACCGTCAACAGCCGAGACTGGAATTCGGCTGCGTTGGACACCCCAGGGGAGTCTTGCTTGTTTTTCTTCAATCCAAATAGCGACGGCTTTGAGCACGGGCGCGAAGCTCGGACTCTGTTATGCCTCCGTGAATTGTGCTCAGGGCGGCGATGCCTAGTCCCAGCCAGACGGATTGAGTCCCGGGCGATTTTTTTTGTTGGTCGCATCTTTGTAGATTACGCATTCTGCGAAAGCAACTTGGAACAACAGCTCCATGCCCGCCCCTTCTCGAGTCTTAGTGCGCTGCGAACGATCGTCTTGGGCTCGGCTAAGCGTTCCGAGCACGGGGGAGTCATTATTCCTCCCTAGTCTTCGCTGTCGTGGGAAGCTCGGAGAACCAGTGGGATCGAGTGGCGAGGTCGTAATATTTCAGACTGAAATGTAGAAGGACGTCACGGGGAGACGTCGGGAATAATTCCTGTGGAAAACGTTTCCCTGAGCTTCTTCAAACGGGAAAAAAGAATCCGAAACGTATCTTGTTCCACCCAAGCCCACTCCACTGTGTCAGACACGTTCCTTTTCTCATCGGAACTTGATTCTTCTCCGCCCACACGACTACCCAGAACCCTTTGTACGGTGAATTCCGAGCGAGACCCGCAGTTGCACCGACGCACTGAGCTCCCGATCGTAAATATTTCCGACGAGAGAAAACGGTCTCATGGATCGTGAGTCTGTTGCCACTTTTGCTCCCGTTCACTCGCTGTCCCTCCCCGTCGGCGAACGAGTAAACGAGCCAGTCAACAAAGCCGTTCAACACCCCCGGAGTGAACGCGCGTATTTGTGCCAGGGTTCTCCTGTGTATTCAAGAGGAGCCTCAAGAAAACTTTGCTTCCCAACTCCTTTGATGACGGAGCAGTACACTGCGACGTTGACGCGTGGAGTCGCTCTGGGCTCCCGGAGTTATCCTGCCTGAGGCGATGGTTTGCCAGCGTCTTTTCTCCCTCTTCTGTTTCTGCAATCGATCGATCGTCCAGAATCGATCTCATCCGCCAGATGACTGAGCGTTGACGATGAGGAGCTCGACTGTCTCATCAGCACCGTTACACGGAACCTCGATTTTAATGGGAGATTCAAAGTGGCGGGGCTGCTCAAATCGGGGCGGTCAAGGACATCGTCTTGCTCGTGGCCGATGGCAACAATATCCCAATACGGGATTCCGATGCGAAGCTCAGAAGCTCCTCGTTGCAAAACACGTCGAGGATCACCGAATCTCCTCCTTATACCCGAGTTCGCGCGGAGGATATAATACGTGGACGATTGTTTTCTTCAAGCTCCAAGCAGAAAATTTTACTCCCAGGTAGCTCTTGACGCTCCGGCAGTAACGACTGTATTGACTGCGGTGAGAGCTCTCGCCATCATCGAACCATTGGTCATCGTCCCAACGCATCGACGCCACGCACCGACCG